CACAAATAGATCCCCTTAAAGGAACTCTTATGGATCCCTTGAAAGGAGCTCTTAAACCCCTAAACCCCTATGAAACCCGTGGAGACCCCCGCTTCTTGAAGGCTCGTAGTTGGGTTCCGCCTGGTTCCCGGCGGGCAGGGCCGAGGAGCGCAAATGCCTTGAAGATTTCTGGCTTCGGGTTTCGAGTTTAGGGTTTCGGGTTTAGAGTTTAGGGTTTAGGGGTTGGGCTTTGGGGGGTAAGGGTTGTAAGGTTGTGGATTTGTGGCTCAGGGTCTGGGCTTTTGTGCGGGTGTTGGGTGCGCAGGGTGAATGGTTCTGGGCTTTTGCCGCTTTGGGCTTTTTGTTTTTTTGGGGGGGCTTAGGGTTTAGGGCTGTAGCTCAGGGGTGGGTGGGGCCGAAGCTTGGGGATGGCTGTTTAGGGTTGAGAATTTAGGGCTGTAGGGATCTATACTGAACTTGGAACCCTGGCAAAGATTATAATTCTAGCTGTTTCTCAGGGATTATAATAACCAAACATTAAAAAAACATTTTTAAGTACCCCTAAGGGATGAGTTAAGGCTTGATTAGGGTTTGGGATGGATTTGGGAATCAGGGGTCATTCGAGTCATTCAGGGGTTTAACTTTGGGGTGTTGGTGCATACCTAAACCGTTTGAGGGCAAGGATGGACTGATGTCAGTGGGAGAGGCATGAAGCTAGGGCCAGCTAGGGTGTGCTGGGGTGCGTGCTGTTGGCGTGCTGTTGCGCTTCGGGACTATGGGTTTCAAACCCTAAACAGCAATAAACCACAAACAACCCACATCCCTAAACCCTTGGCCCTAAACCCTAACCTTAAACCTTCAACCCTTCAACCCCTAAACATTAAGCCTTCAACCCCAACCCTAAACCCTAAACCCCTAAATTCTAAACCTTTGCCTAAATAAACCCCTCAGGGGCTGAGTACCCTTGCCCAAAAAGGTTAACCTTTTCGAGTATGGTAGGACTATATTTGCCCAAAGGGTTAAAGGTTTCCTACTCAGCCCCCAAGACCCTCAGCCATAACCTTTAACCCAGAGACCCGGAATTCCGAACTCCCCAAACCTTCGAGCTTACGGTTCTGGGGGGGGGGGAGGGGGGGCCCTGACCGCCCCGAAACCACTCGACTTGATATAGAGGTTTTAATCATTAGAATAGGGTTTGGGGTTCCGTTAAAGGGTTCCTTTCAGTTCAAATGGTTCCTTTAAAGGTTCTATAAGGGATCTACAATAGGGTTCTATTAGGGGCCTCAATAATTAGAATAGGGTTTTGAGGGATATCTACTATAACTATAATAAGGAACCTACCCTAAAAAAAACGTGTTGGTAATTATTTAGGGCCCCCACAGCAATCCGAAAACAAAAAAACAAAGCCAACCCTAAGCCAAGGCTTTAGGGTTTAGGGTTCAGGGTTTGGCTGAGAGCTTAGGGGCTTAGAGTTCGGGCACCCTAAGCAAAGGGGTTAGGTTGACGGCTTTTAAACTAAACTCCCAAACCCTGAGACCTTAGTTAGCACAAGACCCTAGCAAAACTGACATCCGCAAATCCGGAGCTCCTCCAATCCAAAGCCTAAAGCCTGAAGCCTGAAGCCTAAACTATCAACCTAAACCTTCGACCCTAAACCCTACATAAATAAACCTTGAACCCCAAACCTTCCCCGCAAATCTAAAGCTTTAAAAGCGTGGATGCTTCCCAAGGCCCTCGAGGACGTGGGCCAAGCTGGTTCCTCGCGCATAGGCTCAGTCCCGTTGGAAGCTCTTTGTTTCGGGTGTTCATAAAGTCTAAGGGACCTGAAGGGATCATGGATTAGGGGCCTGCAAGTATAATTAGACTGAGGCTTTGGGTACACTGTAGTGCAACTACAATCAGGAGCCCTAGCAATAATGTAGGGAATAATTCCGGCCTCCATAATAGAGCTTTTGGGTTCCACAGCTCTTGCCACAGACAGGGTGCTGAGCTCTGGGTTCAGGGCTTGAGGGTTGAGTTGGAAGGACAGCGTTTTTTCAAGCAGGGTCAAAACCCCTAATATCGGGGCACTAATAATGCAATAGGGCTTTGAGGCCTAATATACTATAATCAATAGAAGGAACCCCCACAATAGTATTGGTAACTCTTGAGGTCCCTACAGTACCTGGAATCTATGAGTGCTGCGGCGATGTTTTGAGCTGCCACCTAGCGACGGCAGTGTTTTGCAGCCTGGAAACTTAGAGACAGCGCCTCTCCATCATAGGAAGCCTGTTGAAGTGCACTAAAACCCCGTAAACTCTAAACCCTACACCCTAAACCCTACACCCTAAACCCTAAACTCTAAACCCTAAACTCTAAACCCTAAACTCTAAACCCTAAACTCTAAACCCTAAACCCTAAACTCTAAACCCTAAACCCTAAACCCTAAACCCTAAACCCTAAACTCTAAACCCTACACCCCAAACCCTAACCCCTTAATCCAAAGCCTTGCAGGAGCCCCAAGCCCTGCTTTTAAGCGCACTAAACCCCCCGTCAAACCCTAAACCCTAATCCCTAATCCCCAAACCCTAACACGAACCCCCTACCCCCCGTAAACCCCTAAAACCCTAAACCCCTAAACCCCTAAACCTCTATTTCATATAGTAATTTAAACCTTAATACCCTTCGTGGTTTAAGGTCAACCCCTTCGTGGTTTAAGGTCAACCCCTTCGTGGTTTAAGGTCAACCCCTTCGTGGTTTAAGGTCAACCCCTTAACCCTTTCGTGGTTTAAGGTCAACCCCTTCGTGGTTTAAGGTCAACCCCTTCGTGGTTTAAGGTCAACCCTTTCGTGGTTGAAGGTCAACCCCTTCGTGGTTTAAGGTCACTCCTAGGGTTTAGGGCCTAGGGCCCTAGGGTTTAGGGCCTAGGGTTTGGGGTTTAGGGTTTAGGGCCTAGGGTTTGGGCTTTAGGGTTTAGGGCCTAGGGTTTGGGCTTTAGGGTTTAGGGCCTAGGGCTTGGGCTTTAGGGTTCAGGGCCTAGGGTTTGGGCTTTAGGGTTTAGGGCCTAGGGCTTGGGCTTTAGGGTTCAGGGCCTAGGGTTTGGGCTTTAGGGTTCAGGGCCTAGGGTGTAGGCTTTAGGGTTTAGGGCGTAGGGTTTTAGGGCTAGGGTTTGGGCTTTAGGGTTTAGGGCCTAGGGTTTGGGCTTTAGGGTTTTGGGGCCTAGGGTTTGGGCTTCAATTCTGCAAGAGGTATTGCTTCCCAACGCACCAATAAGCGAAACAATTCTGCAAGAGATTTCCATTCCGAACGCACCAATAAGCGAAACAATTCTGCAAGAGGTATTGCTTCATAAAGCCCCAATAAGCGAAACAATTCCGTAAGAGATTTGCATTCCGAACGCCCCAATAAGCGAAACAATTCCATAAGAGGCGCCCCAATAAGCGAAACAATTCTGCAAGAGATTTCCATTCCGAACGCCCCAATAAGCGAAACAATTCTACAAGAGGTTTTTCTTCCTAATGCCGCAATAAGCGAAACAATAGGTTAACAAATCCATTCATAAATGCAGGTGGAGGAATCTAAAGTAAGTCTAAGCTCGACAACCTTAAAAAAATAAATCAGCTGTGGGAGTAATATGAACTGTGGTATTTTCCTAGTGGTGTGGGAAAGCGACATTAAAGTGTAACAGGCTAGGTTGCAAGTAGAACTCTCTGAATGATGATGAAAGACTTTATATGGCTTATGTTATGGGATTCTAAGGGTGGGTGGGTGTTATTTCTAAACCGTAAATATAACTCTACTTTAGAACTGCTCGATCCGGAGCTGCTGAACCCTAACCCCAAACCCTAACCCCCAAAAGCCTTGTAAAACACCCCTAAACCCTGCAGAGGCGGCCTCGAAGGAGAGCCTGGTCTTTGAGCCTAAGCCCACTCGATCCGGGGAGGTTCACGGTTTCGGGTTTCGGGTTCGGGGTTCCGGGTGTAGGGTTTCGGGTTTAGGGTTCCGGGTTTAAGGTTTGGGGTTCCGGGTTTTATGGTTTAGGGTTCCGGGTTTAGGGTTTAGGGGTTTAGGGTTCCGGGTTTAGGGTTTTGGGGGGTTTGGGGTGTAGGGGCACACGATTTCGGGTCGAGCTAAGGGGTTCCATTTCGGGACTGGAAAATCGAGTGCTTGTATATGGGCTTAATACGAAAATAAGGGCGACGGCAAGGGTTTAGGGGCCTGAGGGTTCAGGGTATCAGGTGATCTCATACCTTCCGGAACCCAGCAAAAGGGGCTGCAAAGAAGTGTGATGCTTATGATAAGGACAATGATGATGATGTTGATGATGATGATGATGGCTAGGTTGATGATGATGACGATAATGATGATGACTACGAGGATGACGATGATGACGACGACTACAATGGTGGTGATGACGGTGATGATGATGGCAGTGACGGTGGTGATGATGTTGAGGATGATGATGACGGTGGTGGAAGATGGTGGCGATAATGGAGGATGGTGATGGTGATAAAAACGGCCGATGCGGAGAGACGAGGAGTGTATGTCCACTCGTATGTTCGGCGTTATCTTCACTATGCCGTGGTAGGTCTTACACTACTACATAGAGCCACACCGCACATCTATGCTAAGGTAAAGGGTCGTAGTAACCCGTAGAGCCGAGCTTTTGAGCCGAATCTCTGAGTAACTCACGCGGGCTAAAGGGGCAAGCTGCATGCGTTTTCAAGAAGATTGCATTCTTCGAGCTTTGGTGGCTGGCTCGGGGTGAGCACTTCGGAAACCCAGCCTGGGTTGAATAGTGTCTGTCAGCGACTCTGCGCAGAGACCACGAAAACTCTGCTACTCCACTCACTGAAGTAAAGCCTTCCATCGAAAAGCCTACGTGGCGGCCTCCGAACCACTCAGGTTATAGAAACCCTCGAAATCCCAAGCAAGGCCCATCGAAGCGGACCGCTACCATGTCACTATATAGAGACTACATGCGGATAATATACCTAAATCTTACCACCACTTACCCTTTCACCTATATGCCCGCCCCCCTCCCAGGAAGGCCAGGAAACTTGGTACTCAACCTGCTGGCCAGGTGATGCGCGGCGTCCTCGCTGTGGCCGTCACTTTGGACCTGCAGCGTGTGCCCGCTTGTCAGGAAGATGGGCAATAAGGCCCATTATACTGTAAGTTTAATAAGGAACCCCCAAAACAGCATAGATAATATACTGTAAGTATAATAAGGAAGCCCCAAAATAGTATAGATAGTTATTACGTTACTGGGATGGTGGAATGTTCGCTTGTAGGGATAAGGCAGGCGCGCTACACCATAACGCCGATCGCGACGGTTGAACGCAAGCCGAGACGTCGCACAGGGATTGACCCATCCCGAAGCGGTTTAGTTTAGGGATTAGGGTTTAGTTTAGGGTTCAGGGTTTAGGGTTTAGGGGTTTAGGGTTTAGGAGCGAACTGGGATTGGGATTCAGGTCCTCGGCATTTTTGGTTTTAGGTCATCGAAACGTCTGCATCTAGTTTTTATCTGCCACGGCTTGCTTTGGGAGTACTTCTTGATGTCCCAGTGCACAGCTCACACGAAGAATTTGAGGAACCTTCAACACTGAAGCTCTAAGCTCTAAACTCTGAAACCTAGCGCCCTGACACTATAAACCCTAAATCTAAGCCCTCAAGCCTACTTAAACCAAACCCGTATACCCTGAGAATACCACCGATCGTAACCTTTATCGTAATATTATAGAAGGGCCGAAACCTTGGAAACACTCATGAAGCCCACCTGCTCCTCCTCTTCGCCCAGGCTCGCCGCCTGATCCTCTTGTTGACCTTTGTCTTCTTCCTGGGCTTAGAACCAAAAGATTCGTTTTCCCATCGGAGGAAAACCCTGAACCCTAAACCCTAAAACAGTCTGGTATAGGGTCGTTCGGTGCCTCAGTGAAAGCTCAACAGCATGGGTTTGCAGGGCTTCGCCAGGGTTTCATGCTGTAGAGTCTGCGCTGGCTTACCAACAGAAGCTTGACGACCCTACAACCCTAAGCCTAAAGCCCTGAACCTACAAAACACCCAATAAACCTAAACGTGTAAACCCTGAACCCTCCGCAAAATTATCGTCCCTTTTGGGTCCCTACTATAATACGGCACGTAATATTTAGGGTACCCAAAAAGGGATCCTAATTTTGACCTGTAAACCCTCAAACCCCCATAAACCCTCAACCCTAAACCCTAAACCGAGCTTCGGAGAAGTTTTCGGACCAAAGGCCCTGGGCTTGGAGCTCGCCGAAATCCGGCGGAGAGGCCTCCGTGTTCAGGGTTCAGGGAGGGTTCCTGCAAGGGTTCTATAAGTATACCCCCCTTAGACACATAATACAAATGATACTTTACATTCTCTTGGGTTTCATATGCCCTAAACCCTAAACCCTAAACGGTTTCATATGAACAAAAATGGAAAGTATTTTCTAAGGAGACTATAGACAAAGGGTTCGGATTTAGGGCTTCGGTGGTTTACAGGGCTGGGCGCAAAGTAGGGTTTTGAGGTATGGGGGCCTTGTGGTTTTGGGTTTAAGGTGGTGGACGGGACATTTGACAGGGGTGGTCTATTTCGCCAAAAAAATCCGCAGGCTTTGTGGTAAGGTAGGTGTGCTGTCTTCAGATTTTTGTGTGGTACTGAAGGAGAAATCTTCCTTGGGATCGAAAGCTTGCATCGATTCCCAAACGGTTCAGTCACCAAGCTGGAACTCGTTTTGCGGCTCAGGGCCTAGGGCTTACAGTTTCGAGTGTGCTATACGGTTTAGGGTTTTGGATATATCAGGGTTCCGCTTGGAGTAGCCATGTCAGCAAGGGCCTGTTTATTGCACAAGGATACAGCCGGGCAAGGCTATTCAACTTTTGGGGTTGGGGTTTGTAGTCGAACCCGCACCGCTGCAAGGCAACACCAAAGCTTCTTAGGGGGAGTAACTGGGACCATGCAACGACCAGACACGTGACAAGAGTGGCCAGCTACCAGTCATATAAATCATCATGACGAAAACAAGCCAATGGAGGATACAATCAGGACAATCATACCATTACTTGGTGATAGCAGCATTACATTCATTGGTGATAGTTGCAGCCATAGTCGTTGCGCGCGAACTTCTGGATCTGACTTTTGAATCTGCAAGCAGCCCTGCACAACAACAGGCCGTGAGGCAGAAGGCCGCCGATCACAATGGACGCCCCAAGAAAAGACCCTTCAGAAACTTACCTTTGGTTAGTAGGGAATGGAGGAATGGGGTACAATTATAACTAGTATTACAGTATTATTATCATTCTTCCATTCCCTACTAACCAAAGGTAAGGAAAAACATACAGGTTGCGATTATGTTTATGCTTTTTAGGCTCTCAACCTTCAACAATAGGCCGTGAATCTCAACCCCAGAGGCCTAGACCCTAACCTCCAAATGTCTCGGGCCTTGTAGCAGCAGCCCGTCCACGGCAGCTCACTACATGTGTCCATTCTTTGACTCAGGGTTTGCTGTCAGCTTTGGGATGTTAGTGCGAGTGTTGGATCTGGGTGCGGGCGGGGCGGGTTGTAGTATATTCAGGACCAGGCTCGGTACAGGACAGTCGTGGTAAGAACTCCGTTGGCAACTGCTCTTGCAGATCGTCGACCTTCGTCATGGCTTCACACACAGAGCGGGTTGCTTGTGTAGCCTTAGAACATCGTCTAAGCACACCTGCTTCGTGCATGTCTCGAAAGCTGCCAGTCAAGGTCGCGAGAAGGCAGCGTCGCGAATGGTTGGCGATGCATGCGATACAGGGCACAACCGACGCAGTCTGCAGCATCTTACCCGGGCTTCCCAAGCAGGCCAAGCAGATTTTCTCCACTATGCGCGAGCGGAAAGCTGCGAGGGCATCCCACAGAATCGGATCCTGGAAGCAGTGTTGAGGTTTAGGGTTTAAGGTTTAGCCTTTAGAGTTGAAGTCTTACCGGGCCTAGAATTGAGACAGATCACGACAGTAGGGGGAGCTTGTCTGCAGCGACATCCTAAAGCATGTAGAGCCAAGATGTTAATCGTGGACTCTCGCACGTATTGTGGGTCGTGCGAATTTAAACCATCTACCACTTACCAGGGAAAGTATAACGTAACACGACATATTGAGTTGCTGTCCACGGCCAGAGAGTGCGCCCCTTCCCTGAAGATGAAAGCAACTTCTGGCCGAAATATTTGCCATGTTTGGATGTGCTTCCTGTCTCATCCCACACCCCAACATCAACTTTAAATCAATCCTTCCATATCTTTGCCCTTCCTTTCTCTGAGAAATGGAACAGACCCAGCGCTGAACTCCATTCGCCGAGCCACACAGCAGCCGGCCCCATTTTTGATGCGTAATACATGCTAAGACACGACAAGCCCACGAACACAACACATGATGTCCACACCCCGAGCCCTTCAAAATCTGAACTAGAATCACATGAATCCCTAAAGCCGAAAGTGCCGAAGCCCTAAACTTCAAACCTTTTGGAGGTCACCCACTGAGTCACTAAGCCAAGCCTGATTTGAGGCTCTACAGTGTAAGGTAACGGTTTAGGGCTTAGGGTTTGGGGCCCTAAGCCCTAAACTGTATACATCGACTATTCTTCTAAGAGCTTTCTGCAGCTGTCGACCGTGTGGGAATTGAAATACATATTCTTGTGGAACTACGTCTATAACAACACCCTTGTAGAAAGTAGAAACCTAAGATGCCTTGCAGAACTCCCTACAAAAGCCACATAAACCCTGCAATACACCCACGAAAGCAGCCAGAAATGTCCGACAAAGTCTAGAAAACCCAATCCAACAAATCCTCTCAAAACCCTCCTCCTTTCCCCCCCCCAACCCTAAACCCTTTTCCCCCTACCCGTAACCCCAATCCCCCGTACCCCCTTGCCGGGGCGAGCGCCTGCGGGCTGAGCGCCAGTGCCCGGGCGAGCAACGGCTCGGCCGACCAGTGGCGACCATCCTCACTTGGAGGGTCGGGGGACTTAGTAACTGGTTATTTTAGGGACTTATAAGTACCATAACCCCAATTAGGGTCCCTTTTAGGGTACTTATAAGTCTACTTACTAACTACTTACTAAGTCCCCCGACCCCCAAGTAGCTTCACCTATAAAGACAAAATGATAATGCTGATACCAATATCTACTAAAGGGTATCTGTGTGTGTGTATACATGTTGTAATAATAATAATATGCATGTATACACACAAACTTAGATAAACATACATACGTACATACATACTTACATACGTACATATCTACATACATATATATATATATACATGCACATATATATATATATATATATATATATACCAATCAGTATGTAACAGTATGTATTTTACATATAGACACTCACACACACACATTCCGGGTTGGCATGATGATATAAGCTATAGGGTATATTCCTTACTGGCCAGGAATATTTGTCTTCTGTGCTTCTTCTTTGGAAGGCCAAGCCGCGAGGCCATGAGGCTAGGGCTTCAGGGTTTAGGGTCACGGCTTCGTGTTCTTGGGTTTAGGGTTCATAGCTGGGCGGTCTAGGGCTTCAGGGATTTCAGACACAAAGGCTCTGAGGTTGGAGGTTTCTCTGGTTCTAGCAGTCCATGAAACTGACAGCGACTAGGACATTATGTGCGACTGATAGCAGCCTTTATAGGAACCCTTGAGAACCCTTTTTCTAAACAGGCAGACTTGCAGCGTTTGACCAAATTTATTGAGGCCTGCCAATGTGAAGGTCGTACTCAAAGTTGCGAGTCCTACGTATGAGCATTCGCTCTTGTGACTGATTATGAGTTACTGTTTGCAAACAACTTTAAGCGCTGCATTGTCAAAACAAAGCCATTCTACTGCCACAACGCTTGGCCTAAACCCGTGACCCAGGACCCGGGTGCTTTAGGGCTTTAGGGCTTGGGGTGCAGGATTCCCGCTTGAGGTTGTAGGATTTCAGGGCCTATGATTTTAGACTTTACCCAGAGGCCCCATAGTAGTTCCTCTTTCGCATTACCCTATAGGTTTCTTTATACGAACCCCAAAACGGAACTAAACCCTAAACCCTAAACCCTAAACCCCAAAACGGAACTACTTTGGGGCCTTTGGGTAGGGTTTCGTTCCTTTTTTTGAGCTCCTTTTTCCCAGAGGCCTACAGTCGGCGACTTGAAAGGGTTTCGGGTTTTATGCTGTAGGGAGATATATGGTTGATGATATACATCCTGCACTACCCTGAATAAGGCGTGACAATAATGATGACCAGAAAAATAACAGCGAAGTATGAAATATCATGGCACTGATAGCTCTAGTACCAAAATCAGACTGATAGTACCATAATTCCCATAGTTTAGGGTCCTTAAGGTACTGCAGGATTTATATCAACACCCGTATCAGGTCAAATCAGACGACATGCTGCTCGCAATTCTCTTCGTGAGCACAAAGGAAACTCAAGAAGCACCTCGACAAACCGTACATACATGAGCAGGGTTCGAATGTCGAGGATCGAACCAATACCGCCGCATAATCCTCAACGACACCAAGCCTGAACCCTAAGCCCTAAACGCTAAAGCTCTGAATTTCGACAGCCCTGAAATCAGGCCCCAAACCTCAAACCCTGAACTCTAAACCCAAAACCGTGACATGCGGTTCGAATTCCTCCCTCCGATCACACTGCAGCAAGGACTCGAGACAGATTGTAGTCCCAGTGATCTGCCTTGGTTGTTGGGTGCGAACTAACTACCTTGGGTTTAGGGCTCTTGTAGGGTTTAGGATTTCGGGGTTTAGGGTTTGGGATTCAGGATTTACGGCTTACGGCAGTGTACGACCTGCGCTTGGGATCAACATACAACTGCTGCTTGGATCTGACTCCACGGATATAGCAGTTTCGGCACAGAGATGCATCCACAGCCCTGGATTCCAGTAGATACATGAACACCGCCGATATCAACAAGAATGCTCCCTAAACCCTACACCGATCATCGCTTGAGCTCCGACGCTTGCAACTTGTGAAGCCGGAAGGAGCAGGTTGTACCATGAGGCCCTGAAACCACATGACATGCTTCACATGGCCGAGAATGGCTAAGGTTCAAGGCTTGGGGTTCGGGCTGTGGGGGTTAGGATTTCGGCCAGCGTCTACGGATACTATTGTGGTTCTTCTGCCGTAGGGCTGCATGAAGCTCCACTTTCCGCACCCTGCAAGAACACCTTAAAGCTCATCTACGCAAAAAACAAATAAGTACATCTACTATAAAACATTTCAAGAAGTATACAGCACTTACATTTTGATATTCCAAGATATACTATAATATCTACTGAATCTTTAAGATACCATAACATGCTATAATTCGGACCCTACAAAGCCCACTGAAGCACTACAAACGCGACAGGCAAACTTAAACCCAGCCCCGCAGCAGCTGTAGTCCCAGTTGGTGGCAGGCATCTGGGGAGAACGGATCAATCCGGAAAGCCTCCGCCGCACGCGTTAAGGTTTGAGTTTAGGCCTTTTTTTGAATTCGACCTCTTGGCAACCCAAACCCTTCATGGGCTTCACGTGCAGGGTTTGAGGGTGGTCGGGGGTGTAAAAAATCCAACCCGAAACTCCTTCCCCTGCCCAAGCATCAGGCATCTACAGTGTACCGCAGAATGTTGGAACCCGGGTTGAGAATGATAAGTGCTAGGCTCCCTTCTGCTTTACCTTGAGGGCATGAGGATTAAGATGTTCCATCCTAAACCCTAAACCTTAGACCCCAAACCCTAAACCCTGAGCCCTAAAGCCCAAACCTTAGACCCTGAGCCTTAAACCCCAAACCCTAAACCCTGAGCCCTAAACCCCAAACCCTCATTCATGGCTTCTATTCTACTGCCAGCCAGTCGAAGCCTCTCCAGGGAACCTGGGCCTCTCAACTCACTAGATTATCGTAGTACGGTATGGTAGATTACAGTATGTTATAGTAAACTATTGTTGTCGGGGGTTGTCGCAAACTATGGTCGATTATCTTGTTCGGTTGCCTGGCCCAGACAACGTTGAACTTCTAGGTACTATCTTTCGAGTCATGCATACCGCTGCATACTCTAAAAACTTGCACGATACTTGCTCAGGAACCAAGCCACATATTTACATATAGCTGGTGTCGGAGTGTCAAGTTCATGCGCTTCATACTTCATTCCCCAAAGGCCATGGAAGACCTACAACAGGCGGGCGGGGGGTATCGTATACCGTGATCAAATTTGGGACTACAACTTTAAGGATATAGACTAGTATATAAGACAGATAGATAGATGCCTAGATATAGACGCTTCTATACTAGAGCTCGGCTGAAAGACCTAGCCACCGCCGCCTCGACAAGGTGTGACAGCTGCAGCCCATGCCGCTTCTGCGATTCCTGTGCATGCGGCTTTGGATGGTGTTGGCTTTAGAATTTAGTGTTTACCCTAAGGTCCCAAAGTAGTTCCTTTGTGGGGCTCATACTTAGGGTCCTATAAGGTAATCCCAAAAAGGAACTACTTTGGGGCCTATGGGTAGGGTTTAGGTGTTTGGATGTGTGAACCCCATGCAAGCTTCGAGCACTCAAGTGCTGAAGCCCTGCAGCAAGCTACAACTCATCAGACCCCCAACGTGTCTGACAGAGCTCACCAAGTAGAGAGGACTTATATAAATGCGTTATTCAGGAGCTACTCCATGGAACCTTATCTTGGGATCCTTAAAATAAGGAACCTTCTTTTCCGGATACTATATTGGGGTCCCTATTTTCGGAAACCCCCATATGCGAGACGTCAATCTGGGGCAAATACAAACTGGGAGACCCGAAGCCCAATCTAGAGCCTAAATAGCTGGATCTTTACTTTGGGTTTAGGGGTTTAGGGTTTAGGGGTGTAGAGTGTAGGGGTTTAGGGTGTAGGGTTTGGGGGTTTAGGTGGGTCACTTTTGCCGAAACGATGCCCTATCTTCAATCTACCTACACAGGAGAGACAACTTCAGGTTGATGCCTCTTCATTAGAAGGGGCCCCCACCCTGTAATAGTGGGTATAATAGGAATATAGTAGGGCCCCAATATAATCCTTATAGTCACTATTACAGGGTGGGGGCAGCTTCTAACCTCTTCATCTTGTTTTTGAGGGCTGAAGAGACTGCAGGAAACTCCCACCTCAAAACCCTAAGCCTCAAAGACATTGCAAAACCCGAAAACCCAAACTACCACATCCCAAAGGCGACAAAACCCCACCACCCCAAAATCATCCTCAAAACCCTAGCTAGCCCCATCCTCGAAATCCCTGCAGGGATCCCGGCCAGGGCATCGCACGCACCCAAAGCGGCCGCCAAACGCTGCCTTCGTGGCGCACTCCGCGGCTGCAAGCGGCAAGCCTTCGGGGCTTTGGTGGGTATTGTATCATGTGATATTGCATTAAAATAACGGCATTGAATGAATGCACTTAGTGTATGAATCTTTGGGGGGGGGGGGGGCGTGTTTTCGGCTCAGGTTTCTTCTTGTGGCTCGACCTCTGCCTTCTGGAAACCCTTATTAGGTTTACACTTTTAGGCTCTTAGGGCTTTAACGGCTCGGGGATTCAGGGTTTTGTTTGTAGTGCTTCAGGGTCCAAAGGTTCTGAGGCTTCAAGGTGTAGGGTGGAGTTTGCTGGTAGTTTTGTGTAGTGGCAAAAAGATTTCCTTCTTACGAAACAGCTTCTGAAACTTGTGAAGATGCAAAAACAGCGCAACTATTTGTGACTTTGGCTGACTCACGAAGCTGGACATCTGACCCTCCCAAACCCCACCCGGGCGAAAGGTGCATCCTTTTCGGGGCGGCGAGTGGCATACGTGGCAACAACAACAACAGCAACAGCAACGCAACCACAACGGCTACAGCTACAGCTGCAACTACAACTACGACGACGACTACTGTTTCTCCTGCTGCCAGGCTACCACTACTTCATGTTCATGGCCACCTACAGTAGGTCGATGCACTGCGACGCACCTTCTCTTGCAACTCGAGAGATGTCTCAACAAGCTTCAGCACCTGCCGCCATGCTCGATGAGTTTATGTAGTTTTGGGGGCTCACGGTGGGGTTTAGGGTGTGGGGGTCAGGGCCAGGTATCAGTGCAAAAGTTAGCTCTGGCGATACACTGTCATGCAGCATCCACAGACGTCCCATAATTATGCTTGCCCAGCTCCATGCACGCAGACATCTGTACGTTCATGATGTATCCCCTGTTCTGACATGTAGTGAGAAACCTCGATGCTCGTACCTGCTTGTAGGAGCACTCCAGCATTCTGAAGCTACTACGCATGTATCGGAAGACGATCCGTGCCATTTGCGACAATCTCCTGCTACGACTAAGTGAGCTTGTCCAGTCCACCGAAGACTTAGTATGGCGTGGACGGTCGGAGGACGGGCGAGTTTCTCAGACTAGGCTCAGGTTTGTGGATAACGAGTGCGTAAAGTGCAAGCTTGAACCGCGACTACCACGCTGCGACGACGACGACGCCAGCAGCGACGACGACGATGACGACGACCGTGACCGCGACCGCGACCACGACGCCGGCCGCAGTGGCGACGACCACAACGACGACGACGACTTCTGCTTACCCTCCTCCTTCTACTTTTACTTGCTACTTACTACTGACTGCTTACTACTTACCACATACTACTTGCTAAAGACTAAATACTACATACTACTTAGTCTACTACTTCTTCTTCTACTCGCGACTACTACTGCTACTACTACCAGCTACCAACTACCAACTACTAACTACAAACTACTAGCTGCTAGCTACTAGCTACTAGCTACTAGCTACTAGCTACTAGCTACTAACTACTAGCTACTAATACTAGCTACTAGCTACTAGCTACTAGCTACCAGCTACCAGCTACCAGCTACCAGCTACCAGCTACCAGCTACTAGCTACTAGCTACTAGCTACTAGCTACTAGCTACTAGCTACTAGCTACTAGCTACTAGCTACTAGCTACTAGCTACTAGCTACTACTACTACCACCACTACTACGACTGCTACTACTACTACTACTACTACTACTACTACTACTACTACTACTACTACTGCTACTGCTACTGCTACTACTACTACTACTACTACTACTACTACTACTACTACCACTACCACTACTACCACTACTGCCACTACTACCACGACTACCACTACAACCACGACTACCACTACTACTACTACTACTACTACTACTACTACTACTACTACTACTACGACTACTACTACTACTGCTGCTACTACTACTACTACTGCTACTGGTGGATAATACTACTCCGACTGCCACTCCACTACTACCACTGAGTAACCCAACATTGAAACTATTAATACTATTACTAGTACTAGTACTAGTACTATTGCTACTGCTAGTTGTACATCTTTCTATTACTATGACTGCTATTACTATTGCTAGTGCGAGTACTACGACGACGTCGATGCTGATGGTGCCTGACACTCCGAGGGCCACCGTCTGTTCATCACGCACAAACACCAGCCTCTGCACCAAGAGCTTGGGCTCCGATTGCCATCAAGGGCTGCCTGACATCATGAGGGTTTGGCGCCTTAAATCACAAGCCAAAATCCGCGCGCTACATGAGGTTACGGTGGTTTCCAGTTAGAGCTTGAGGACGACCTAGGTCAGTCAGCGTACCAGCAGAAATTGATTCTTGCGGGGATTCCCAATGCTTTACTTCACGGGCATGAGCATCATGATGTTCCGACTCCCTGGCTTCCACTTCAAAGCCTACTGCTCCCCTTGCACTGGCTACTCAAGCGGCCTTAGACTGGAACCGTTCTGCAAGCATTAGTTCAATAATTCCTGAAAGGTATTACTCTTGGTTTCATGGACAATGATTCCTAAGAACTCTGAAGCCCGCTTGAGCTTAAAGTCTTGAAGACGCTGAGCCCACTTCGTCCCCGGTCCGAACCGTAGCTTCAGCCTGAACGCTACCTTTCGTCTCCCTTGTAGTTCTGTAGTTCCTTTTTTTGCCTTAAGGGTTAAGGGTTTAGATTAGGTTCTTCTTTGGGTTGTATACTTCAACGGATCCTCAAAAAGACTAAACCATGAAATGGAACTAAATGGAGACTGTAGGTACCTTTCGTCTCGACCCTGAGTTTCAAACTGAAGCTTAAGCCATTCACATATAGAACTCCTATCTGGACCGTTGGGGGTCTAGGTTAAGCCCAACCCGACTTCCTGAATTGCAACTCTGTATCAACTATAGAACATAAGCCCCGAGACGCAACAAAGACGATACTGCCAATGAAGCCGTTAGGTTCATACCCTAAGCCCTAAACCCTAAAACCCTCACCCCCAAACCTTGACCTCGAATTCCGGAACCCTGGCAAGAAAGCCACACCAAAGCCTCAAACCTTCCATGTCAGAGCCTCGGCTGCATGGTGCCCTTCTTCCTGCCGAGCTTCTGCAAAGGCTTTTAGGTTCAGGGCTGAGGGTTTAGGGGTTTGGGGGTTTCAGGGTTTAAGGTTCAGGGCTTGGGATTTTGAGGTTTGCGAGTTACAGGGCTGCTTTTTGAGGCTCTGTTACCACAAATCCTTGACTTCTTCTTCTTCTCCGAGCATTCGCAGCTTCCTTTAATGGCCTAGTTTGCACGGCTTAGAGCTTACTTCTTGTCGGAACTCTGAGTCTTGGCAAAACGTAGTTGTTATCCTTGTTGTACTGCTGCATGTCCAAGCCCTGCCAGTGATACGATAAGGAATATAGCATCGTTCCCACAAGCAAGGATACTTAAGGTAATGCTTCATTTTAATTTGGTTCATGATCAATACCCTAGCCGCCGCAAGCACTAAACCCTAAACCCGAAAACTGCAAAACCCTAAACCCTCATCCCGAAACCCTAAGCCCCAATCCCGAACCCTTAACCCGAATCCTAAACCTTAAACCCTACTTATACATCCCTGAAACCCCTCAAGGGCCTTGGGCTAAGGGGCTTCGGCTAAGACCAGAAGGTCGGGGCTTCAATTTCATTGGCCTGCCTGCTGCGGCGTGGCGCCAGCTCCTCAAAGGGAGGGTGGGGGTTTAAGATTTAGGGTCTATAGTGTTTAGGTTTAGGGGTTTAGGGTTTAGCGGTTTAGGGCTTCATGTTTTGATGGTGCGTTCTTACAGTCTGAATGGACGGCTAAGGAAGAGTAAGCTTAAGCTCCAAAGGCTATATCCCTAAACCCTAAACCCTAAACCCAAAGCACCCTTAAGCCCCTAAATCATCGAACACCGAAGCAAAGAGCAGAACTCGTGGGTAGGTGGCCTACTTGGGGGGTCGGGGGACTTAGTAAGTAGTTAGTAAGTAGACTTATAAGTACCCTAAAAGGGACCCTAATTGGGGTTATGGTACTTATAAGTCCCGAAAATCACCAAGATATTAAGTCCCCCCGACCCTCCAAGTAACAGTTCGAGCAAGGTAGGGAGTATTGTATACTGCGAGGGTGCTGGGCCTACGCTCCGTGGAGAAATCAAGATCTCGTGCCTTCGCCAGGGTTCTACATGGGTTGTATACAAGCTTGACTGAACGGCCCTAGGGTTCTACGAGGGTTCAGGATTGAAGACGTAAACCCAGAACCCCCCATCCCTAAACCCCTTGGCCCTACTTGGAGGTTCATGGGAAGTATAGTTACCCTTCTTCTAACCCTACTTATAACTACCCATGAACCTCCAAGTAGACCCTACAGTGTCCGGGATGCCGAGGAGTCGGGCTTTGGCTTGGCCTCTCCCACCCACCGGAAGCCAAATCCTCAAGCCCCAAAACCCCCAAACACTTCCGTCCCTCCGAAGCCATGAGCCTCCAAACCTTTGATCCCACAACCCAAAAACCCCAGACCCTGATTACGATCTGAACACTGCAGCCGCTTGAATCCGTGAACAAACCCTACACCTTCACCCCAAACCCTAAACCCTAAACCCTAAACCCTAAACCCTAAACCCTAAACCCTAAAACCCTAAACCCTAAACCCTAAACCCTAAACCCTAAACCCTAAACCAAAGCTCTGAGCCCCTGTGTGGTATCTAACGGCCGCCTCCGCCCGCTGAAGGACTGCCTGCCGGGACCAACGCGTGCCCTGGAACTCCACCTGATCAGCAAAGCTAGAAGGACGGGCTTAGGACTTTAGGGCTTTGAGTTTTGACTTTGGGATTTAGGATTTAGGGTTTAAAGTCTGACGAGGAAATTAGCTACTTTACATCGACTATATGGGGCCGAGGTGCTGCAGACCTTCAGCTTTCAGAGCAAGGGGGTTGAGGGTTTGGAGGCCTGCGGTTTCAGGGCGTACCTGAACTGAACCCTAACTACTTCAAGGCTCATGGGGACTTAGTAAGTAAGGTTATAAGTAGGTTATAATTAGGTTAACCCCACTTAGGGGACTTATAACCCCAATTATAACCTACTTACTAAGTCCCATGATCCTTCAAGTAGCCCTCAACCTCCTAACCCTAAACCCTGAACCCCTAAACCCTGAAGCGGCGAGGAGACCCGGAAACCCGCCTCGTCATCTGCAGACATGGCGACGCCTGCTTTCCGAAACCAGGTGCTCTTCAAGGATTCTATGGTTTTCTGTACATTTTCTAGCTTTCTACGGGTTCTGGCTCATTGAAGACTGTTTGACGTCTTTGTAAAGGTTTGGTGTGAGCTTTCTACGGGTTCTGGCTCATTGAAGACTGTTTGACGTCTTTGTAAAGGTTTGGTGTGAGCTTTCTACGGGTTCTGGCTCATTGAAGACTGTTTGACGTCTTTGTAAAGGTTTGGTGTGAGCTTTCTACGGGTTCTGGCTCATTGAAGACTGTTTGACGTCTTTGTAAAGGTTTGGTGTGAGCTTTCTACGGGTTCTGGCTCATTGAAGACTGTTTGACGTCTTTGTAAAGGTTTGGTGTGAGCTTTCTACGGGTTCTGGCTCATTGAAGACTGTTTGACGTCTTTGTAAAGGTGTCAGGGGACTTGTGATTTGCTGTTGGGGTGCTTTCGGATGAAGGTTTGGGGTTCAGGCTTCAACTGCCTGCGGTGATACATGTAAATCCTACTTAGTTATAAGTAGGATTGTAAGTTCCGTAATATGGGCTATAAGTACAGTTACCGTACTTATAACTCTACTTATAACTACCCATGAATCTCCAAGTAACCCCCGAACCCAAAGCCAATGTCTGGTAGTACCTCTTCGGGCACTCCCCCTCCTCTGACAAGAGCACCCAAAGAGGAAGCCCCTGCTTTGGAACGGGGTCCAGATTTGAGGGCTTAGGGCTTTTGGCGTTTCTGTTTTGGGGTTTAGGGCTTAACGCCCAAACGTTGCACTGGTTTCTCCAACTCCTTGGAGGTGCGGTTGCTGTATCGTTTACAGGGTTCGAGGGTGCTTATACGATTCAGCTTTCTGAGCGCACTGTGCAATGTAGCTCCTTCGGCTATCCATTATGTCTTGCACCACCGCAGTGTTTGAACCAAACGCATCAGCTAGAATCGAGGGCTCAGGTACAAAACTCGCAACCGCGGCCCCACCCACCCCAAATCTTAAATCCTAAACGCAGAGTCCTCAACCTTTCACTCCGGCTGGTGAGCCCCCCACACTCTGCTCAGAACCTACTGCTGATGCAGCCTGCAGTACGGAGAAAAAGAGATAGTTCAGTGTGCAGTCAGTGATTACCTAGACCCCAAAAGTAGGTAAAATAATGGCCCAAAACCTAGAAAAGGCCATTATTTTGCATACTTTTGGGGTCCAGGTATGCTGCAATTTCCATAGCTTCGGGGACTGCAGGTAAAGCAAGATCTGAAGATGATCCTCAACCCTAAACCCTCAACAGAGAACCAAATACGCCTTAATTACGGAATATACCTTAAATCATAATATTAAGGCACCTATGATTTAAGGTGTATTCCTTAATTAGGGGGTATTGGGTTCTCTGAGTACACCCCCTAAACCCCTGAACCCTAGACCCCTAAACCTGACATCGCTGACTCCTGCATTGCGCCAAGTGCGCGGAGACGAGGGATCGAGTTCCTAGGTGCTTCGGCTCACGCGCTCTCAGGCAGATCCCCGATTGACGGTTTAAGGGCTTAAGGCTTTAGGGTTTAGGGTGTAAGGGTTTAGGGTTTAAGGGTTTAGGGTTTAAGGGCTTAGGGTTTAGAGTGATAGGGTTCCTCTTCAAAGGGGTCTTTAAGGGCTACTATCAGGGTTTAGTGTAGGGGACCTTAATAAAAAGGAAAAGGGCTTTGGGGTATGTTATAAGGCCGGAGTGTGTGGGTCCTAATCCACGGTTCTATAATCGGGCTCCTTTAAGGGACGGTTCCCGTAAGGGTTCTTTGTGGGGTAAGGTAAGGGATCTATCACCTACTTGTCGAGTATCCTGGGGAACTAGAGGTTAGCCGACCTTTAGGAGTTAGGACTATGAGGGATCATGTAGGGGTTGTAGTACCCCAAAAGGGTTAAAGGTTACATACTCTAGCTCTAGGGCCTACCTTTAGTATCCAAGGTAGCTCCTTTTTTGGAATTCCTTATGGGTTCCCTCATAATAAAATTGGTTTGGCAACAAAAATCAACTATGATGGAGTCTATATAGGTAACCATCATCATCGACAATTCATTACCACAATGGTGGTGATGAGCGCGATTGCCATCAACCAGCCAGCCAACCAGCCAATCTGCCAATCAGCCAATTCGCCGATCATCAAATAAACCCTCAACCCTAAACCATCACTCAATCGTTCCTTCATTCATTCATTCATTCATTCATTCATTCCTTCGTTTATTCATTCATTCACTCATTCATTCATTCATTCCATCCATCCATCCATCCATGCATGCATGCATGCATGCATGCATTCATTCATGCATTCATTCATGCATTCATTCATGCATTCATTCATGCATGCATTCATTCATGCATTCATTCATGCATTCATTCATGCATTCATTCATGCATTCATTCATTCATTTCATTTCATTTCATTCATTCATTCCTTCATTTCATTTCATTCATTCATTCGTTCATTCGTTCATTCGTTCATTCGTTCATTCGTTCATTCATTCGTTGATTCATTCATTCCTTCATTCATTCCTTCATTCATTCATTCATTCCTTCATTCCTTCATTCATTCAATTCATTCATTCATTCATTCACTCATTCACTCATTCATTCATTCATTCACTCATTCACTCATTCACTCACTCATTCATTCATTCATTCATTCATGCATGCATGCATGCATGCATGCATTCATTCATTCATTTCATTCATTCATTCATTCATTCATTTATTCATTCATTCATTCATTCATTTCATAATCCCTAAACCCTAAACCATTACTCAATCGTTCCTTCATTCATTCATTCAGTCAGTCAGTCATAATCCCTAAACCCTAAACCATTACTCAATCGTTCCTTCGTTCATTCATTCATTCATTCAGTCAGCCAGTCAGTCAGTCATAAACCCTAAACCATCACTCAATCATTCCATCATTCAATCACCCAGTCGACGGCCCGAATCTCCAAGCCCTCAACCCTAAACCCGAACCCCAAAGCTGCAGGCAGGTTTCCAAGGCTTGCAGATGAAGGTCCAGCCGACCCCAATGCCTTCGAGTTAATAAAGCACTGGTACGAGTAGTCGGTGGCAGTAGTAATGGCAGTGAGGTGATGGTGCTGGTTGCGGCGGTGGTAGAAGCAGCAGTCGTAGCGTTAGTAGCATAGTTGCAAGCCAAAAGCTTCTCTTGGCCCTTTTGAGGCCCCTCGCCCTGTCTTGTGTGCTCCATTTTAAACGTAGATACCTTGGGCCTTAGACGGAACCTGAGGGTAGAGTCGTAGAACCGGCCGAGACTGTGTTGGACAAAGCAAAACCCTTCAACTCCACACCCTGAACCCTAAGGCTCTAAGGACTGACATTTGGAGGCTTTTGAAATTTTGGGCCCAAACACGATATTATATGAGGCTTTTGTGCTATTTTGAGCCTTAGGGTGGGATAAAAGCCCAAAGCGTATTGCGAAGGGGGCTACGGCTAGGGACATCCGAACCCTGCATACCACAGCCACGCAGCACCCCTTGCCCCTTCCGTCTTCTTCAATGGCGCTGTGCTGTAACGGCTTTGACAGGTTCTGGTAAGGCTGTATACAGTTCCTGCAAGAGTTTCCTAAAGGGCGTCATGACTTGGAGACGAGCTACTAGAGTCATTTCAGCTCTCAACCCTTGATGCTGGAATATATATGTCCTGACATGCTGAAGTCTAAGCAAACACAAAACCCGCACCTTTGGCTGCCAAGAAACTCCCAGGCTTTGTCCTCCGGCTTTCCTGCAGACGGTTTCGGACATGAAGTCATCAAGTGGAGATCTGGAAGAATGGACTAGACTCTGCCTGGACCGTGGGGAACCTACATGTCTGGGCTTTTAAGATGGCCTTACGTAAGTCCTAAAAAAACAGGTTACTTGGGGTCAACGTGAATCCTGAACCCTGGGCCTGCAAATGTGCGATGCTTTCAAGTCCAGGATCTCGTCTCTCTGACTCAGTTGACCCAGTGAGAGCAAGCAGCAGAGTTTCCGCAAAATCCAGTTTGCTGGTATGTACCAACACTTTATGCAACTATTGCCGTGGTGTCCGATTAATCCCTATCATGTTTGTTGCTGTACAATGTTGTTATCACTAGCATTCCTGACACGTGTTAAGTAAGTTCTCGTTATTGTCACTGTTGGAAAGGAATCCAGAGAACCCAACACCCCTCAATTAAGGAATACACCACAACTTACAGAGGCCTTAATATTTTGATTTAAGGCTTTTTCCCCAATTGAGCGATATTGGGATCTCTGGGAAGTCTTCGGACCTACTCCGTTTCACACACAGACTCGCGAGTGCCTCGAATCGCACAGTTTCACACACAGACTCGCGAGTGCCTCGAATCGCACAGGTCTATCGGATCCAGGGCTACTTGGAGGTTCATGGGACTATTATAAGTACCTTAAGTGGGGATATAACCAATTAAAAGTATACGTAGTTACCTTATTTATGACCCTAGTTACTAAGTACCATGAACCTCTAAGTACCTCTTTGCGGAAAGGCCCAGAAGGCTGCTGTGTTGGTGATACGGTTGATGGTATAAATCCTGCACTACCCATCAGACATGTACCATAATTCCCATAGTCTAGGTCCTTAAGGTAATGCAGAGCTTATATCATCAACCGTAGTTGAGGAGGGCCGGATTATGAATTCCAGCACCTTGTCCAGCCGCTCTAGCTCCCAAAGCCTGCATCGACCACATCCACCAAGCACCCAAGAGCCCTCAACCCTCAATTAAAGAACCCTAAAATCTCAATCCAACCCTCCGGTTTAGGGTTTAGGGTTTAGACCCTAAACCCTAAACCCTAAACTCTCAATGCAAAACTGGGGCGCAGAACGACCGACTGGAAGCTCTCGCCCCGAAGTCCTGAAATCTGAACCCTGAAACCTGAACTACGGTTGATGATATAAATCCTGCATTACCTTAAGGACCTTAAAGTGTGGGACTTATGGTATATTTCCTATTATGGGTAATGCAGAATTTATATCATCAACCGTAGTGAACTAGAGCAAAGAAATCGGCGTCCTGCGACTTTGGCAGAAAGCCTGGCACGATCTCCGGGCCCCAAAAGCTCGCCCAAGTCATTCAATGCCTCGGGGTCGTTTGCGGTGTTTGGTTCAAGGTGTGGGTGTTGCTGTTATACTATTTGGATGGCTTTGGGAGCGCGCAACCCCACGTTCGAGACTCTTGAACCGGCTCATGCTCCAAAGCCCCGACTGCGCACCCAATACCGGAAATTCCTACACCCCAAACCTCCAGTCCGAGACCCCAAGTCGACTTCCAAATTCTTGAACCCTTGCCCTACACACTGAACCCCGCACAATGCAAGCGATGGCAAAGCCAAAAAGGGTGGAATGTAGATTCAACATCAAACACCCATGAAGCCTGCAGGTTTCGGGCTTAGGAATTGGAGAGCGTAGGGTTCAGTAAGTAGGGTTTAGCTTTTGCGGGTTTAGTTGTTAGGGTTTGGTTCTTTAGCGGTTTAGGGTTTGGGTATACAGCGGGTTTAGGGTTTAGGAATTGGAAGGTAGGGTTTGGGCTCGGTTGAGGGCTTGCGGTTCCTGCGCCCTGCCCATGACTTATCCCCCAATACACCGACCAAAACCCTGAACCCAAAACTCCCAAACCCTAAGCCCTTAAAGCAACAGCTCAACGACAAACCCACAGCCCTGGAGCCTTAGAAATCCTAACCAAAATCGATCACCCCAACAACGTAGTTAGGCAGGGATCCTCGGCGCTGCCCGTCCGCTCTATCGCCGACACCTGAGGGCGCATGCAGAGAGCGTGTGTAATTACATCAGGCAACCAAACTGGATATTATCAATTACCGGTGTCGACGCTTGAGAATTGAGGGCTTGTAGCTTGGGGCCAACGGGTTCAGATTTTCAATTAGTATTGCATGTAATTGGCTGGGCTTCATATAAGCGAATTTTAAAGCATCATGGGCTGATCTTAGTACTCATTCTGCGTCCCTTTCAGCGAAGCTTCTGCGGCCCGACACAATCGAAACAAGCCACCTTCGGCCAAAACTGCATGACTGTAATCTGTGGCGAAGACAAAGCCCTAGTGTCTTCCCCTTCGCATAGCCTAACCATACACCGACGACCCCCACCTCGTGTCCATGTGTTCATCCCCAACTCCCTCCACCACTCGATTGATAGAAATCAACCACTCTCAGCAACTTCTCATTGCTAAACCTCTCGCCGAAAACCCCAGTAAGATCAAGCTGTACGGACCCAATCCACTCCCGAAAAGTGGCGGGTTCTTGATGTTCTGGCTCTTTCCGTGGGTCTTCAGATGAAGCAACCTATCTTCGAAAGTCCTCCGTTTAGGGTTTACGGCTTAGGGGTCTCGATAACAAGAGAAGGGTGTGGAGGTATGTTCTGGCAGATGCGTGTAGGAGTTTCGAGGGAGCGCTAGAACGAGTTGTTCAGCTCCTTTACTAGGGTAGTGGTCCAAATTAAGGTCCCCTTTTTGGGTACCCGAAAAAAACAGGTGGCGTATTATAATAGGGACCCAAAGAGGGACCGCAATTTCGACAACCACCCAAATTACTGTAGAGGCCAGAGCACCGCCAAGACCACGGCGTCGAGCAAAGGCGGCGCGGCGGCAGGGCACGGCCAGGGCGGCTCCTACTTGGGGGTCAGGGGACTTAAGTACCCTAAAAGGGACCCAGCGGCTATACCCATAGGCCCCAAAGTAGTTCCTTTTTCGGATTACCTTATAGGATTCTAAATATGAACCCCCCAAAAGGAACTACTTTGGGGCCTTAGGGTATTGTTCCTGAGGGTTTCGGGCTGAGGGTCAAAACTCAAGGCTAGGGATTACGCAGTAAGGCTGCAACGGCTTCGGGCTTAAAGCTGTACCCTAAGGGTCCAAGTAGTCCCGATCTATGGCTTTTGATACCTAGCAAGGCCCTAAAGTCCCATAATAGGGAGAACCTGGACCCTTAGTCAGTACAGTTATAAGTACCTTAACTGGGGATATGACCAATTAAAAGTATAGCTACCTTATTTATAACCCTAGTTACTAAGTACCATGAACCTCTAAGTAGACCCTAAACCCTAAACCCTATAGATCCCATTAAGGAACCCTATAGCTCCCTTTAAGGAGCCCTTTAAGGAGCCCTAGTTACTAAGTACCATGAACCCCTCTAAGTAGTGCCGTGCTTTGGCTGCTGATAGCCAGTCCGGTCCCTGACGGAGCTCGAAGGCCCCAAGTGGGCTTAAAAGGTTGTGGGACTTAGTACCTAGGGCTCCTTAAAGGGATCTATAGGGTTCCTTAATGGGCTCGAAAGGGTTTAGGGTTTAGGGTCTATTTAAAAGGTTGTGGGACTTAGTACCTACTTGGAGGGTCGGGGGACTTAGTAACTGGTTGTTTTGGGGACTTATAAGTACCATAACCCCAATTAGGGTCCCTTTTAGGGTACTTATAAGTCTACTTACTAACTGCTTACTAAGTCCCCCGACCCCCCAAGTAGGGTTATAATTGGGGTAACTATACTTATAAGTACTTATAACCCCAATTATGGTACTTGTACCCTTACTTACTAAGTCCCATGATCCTCCACCCGAAAGCAGGCACGATCCCATGTCCGTAGCCCAGAAGCACTATATATCTGGGATGCAGAGGAATTAGAAGGATCCTAGGGTTCCATGGTACTTGTGTGAACCGAGCAAATTCGGATGACCTCGTATTTTCCGGCCAGCTTTTCCGCTTGCTCCGTGCGCTTTCATCGGACTGCATCTTCAGCATCGCTACTTGGAGGTTCATGGGACTTAGTAAGTACAGCTATAAGTACCTTAGCTGGGGATATAACCCATTATTTGCATAGTTACCTTACTATAAGTACCTTAACTGGAGATATAACCCATTATTTGTATAGTTAGCTCATTATAAGTACCTTCACCGGGGATATGACCAATTATTTGTATAGTTATCTTATTTATAACCCTAGCTACTAAGTACCATGAACCTCTAAGTACCTGAAAAGGAACCCAAGGGACTCCAGGCTTTTAAAGGTTGAAACCTTGGGTGGCTGGGTTACATAATATATGGATGGTTGTCAAAATGATAGCACCTTTTTGGGTTTAGGGGTTTAGGGTTTAGGGGTTTAGGCTTCAGGGACCTTTTGGGGTCCCCATTATAGTACGGCACCTAATATTTAGGGTACCTAATTAGGGACCGTAATTTTGGCAACTACCCATATAACGACGGCAACAATAACACCAATATCAATGATCATAACAGTTATCACTGCAACAATAATACCAACAGCAATCATAAGAAAACAAATAACCATAAGACACATATATGATTAGTAACCTATTTTTCGGAGCTTCAGGGAAATGTAATCATCATTGCATCCGCCCGTCGTGCGAACTCCGCGGTTTAGGTCACCAAAGGGGAAAAGGAGGGACCCTTAATGGGGACCCCTACCCTATAATGGGCTATACAATGGGTATATAATAGCTATATTAAGGGTATTATATACCTAGGGGTCCTTATTAAGGGTCCCTCCTTTTCCCCTTTGAAAGAAGCTCTCGGCAACCGAATCCTAAGAAAGTTGGTGAAGCTGTAGAGTAGAAGACACCAGATTTCAACAATACAAACAGTGCCACACTGGATTCGCACAAAGACATGAAGGAACTTGCTTTGAAGGCAGAGGACCTTCAGCAGAACCCTAAACGAAACAAACGAAAGACACTGTGGAAGGTTGATGGGTAGTTGGACATAGTGTTCTAGGGCGCGCAACAACCATTTACTAAAAGCCAAAGCCAAGCACCACGACGCTACCTGCCTGCTGGAGTATCGATGAACCCGGCACTCCTCCCAAGCTGCGTCGCGCGCACCGTCGAAGCTAATCCTGGGTTTGGGGTTAAGGGATTCAAGCTTCTAGGCCTAAATTTTGTGTTTATAGTGTGGTTTTCGATTTTGGGGGCGGGATGTCGGAACTTGCGAAGCCGGCTGTAGGTGTAGGGATGAGGAATAGCATTGACAAAAAGTTCCAGGTTACCCTAAGGTCCATGTCGGGTATTGGCTCAGCATTTTGACAACTACCCAATATAAGGGAACCTCAAAGAGCGCTGTAGCAAAAGGCAGAAACCACAAGGGTGCAACTCTTACACAAAAGGGTGGTTGTCAAAATTATGGTCCATTTTTGGGTACCCTAAATATGAGGTGCCGTACTATAATAAGGCTCCAAAAAAGGGACCCTAGTATTGACAACCACCCATATCATGAACACCTAAATCTGAAGAGTCCTATACCCAAAACCAACAATGCCGCAACGCCCTATGTGTACCTCCAAGAACCATATACCCGACAAAATTACGCGTAATGAATACTACCCCCACTATCCCTAGTACTACGACGACTACTACTAACTACTGCTGCTACTACCACCACCACTACCACTACCACTACCACTACCACTACCACTACCACTACCACTACCACTACCACTACCACTACCACTACCACTACCACTACCACTACCACTACCACTACTACTACTACTACTACTACTACTACTACTACTACTACTACTACTACTACTACTACTACTACTACTACTACTACTACTGCCTACTGCTGCTACTACTGCTACTGCTGCTACTACTGCTGCTGCTACTACCACTACTCCTGCTGCTACTGCTACTGCTACTGCTACTGCTACTGCTACTACTACTACTACTACTATGATGATGATGATGATTATTGCCATTACTGTTGCTATTTGTATTCTAGGGCGGATGGTCTGCACACAAAGTAACCGGACCTTGTCCTTCAGCTAGGAAAGCTTGGAAAAGACCCAACCCCAAAGCCCCCCCAGCTGACACATGGGCCCAACTCTTGAAAGACTCCAAGTGCCTTGAATTAACCCTAAACCCTAAACCCTAAAGAAGACCAACCGGATGCTTATCCTTGGGGCTCCAGGGGCTTAGAGTTTTTTCGGGTTCAGGCAAGGCTTGAGAAGCCCAATGCAAAAAGACGATTCTTGTTAACTTACCTGGAGCCCAAGAGTATGTAGAATAGTTACCTGCCATTTAGAAGTATTGGATCATTGCTTTACAAATTCTTTGGAGGAGGGGGGGGAGGGTTGGGTAATGCCGCTTTTGGATTTCTGGGCTCCATCATGTCACTCCAAGTCGCAGCTCTGGAAGCGAAAATCGCCTCAGCTGGCAGTGGGTGGATATTTGTTTTGAGCGGGTGTTTCTCTCCACCTCCTCGAGGTTGGTGGGACGCTGTGGGGTGGAGGGTTTAGGGTTTAGGTTCGATTTAGGGCTTAGGATTTACGGTTTAGGGTTTCGGGATTTGCAACAGCGGAGGCCGCGAATGTGGGAAGAAATGGCCATTCTCACACCAAGGGTCCAAGTACCTGATAATCATATACTCTCCAAAATCCTAAGCTACATAACTACTATCCGAAAACCGAGCACCTAATTATTGGGTCCTTTGGACCCTTGGGGTCAGGACAAGGACGATGCAGATGGGAAATTCTAGCGACCTGATGCTTCTGTCCTTAAAGCATGAGGCTCGCTTCGGCGAGTTTCGAACTCCTACTTGGGGGGTCGGGGTAAGTAGTTAGTAAGTCGACTGATAAGTACCCTAAAAGACACCCTAATTGGGGTTATGGTACTTCTAAGTCCCTAAAATAACCTACTAAGTCCCCCGACCCTCCAAGTACAGCCGAAACCCATCAGAATCTCCAAACTCTCAGCCCTCGGCCGTATAGGGTCCTCATGGAGAATGCTCAAAGCTCGGGATTTGGGGATTATGGCGTATAGGGCTCATCTTAAGCCCTCTTCAGCCGGCGAAAGGGCTTGGCCTGAGGGTTTGCTTTGGGGTCCAAGTAATCACCCAGCAAGCATATGTCACCAAAATTATTCAGTTGCGGCACCAAATCAACCTTTAGAGTTAGGCGAAGAGAAAGGCCGAGGCGCAACAAAGTCGGCTGCGGGACCTGGCAACACATGGGAGTATCTTCTTGGTGAGCCCTACACTGCACCTGCAGACGCGCAAAGCCCTCAGGTGGTGCTTCAGAGCCTGCAGCCTGGAAAGCCTCGATAGACCCTAAACCCCGTGCTGTGAGCTTCATGCCTAAGGAATCGAAACACTGATGTAAGGGCCTTTCACTTTACTGTAGGCTAGGGTGCTGGGGTATGTTGTGATTTCCTGCTAATTCCACTACTTCTTACAACGCCTCCTCCACAGGCATGCGCTGCGCTAGCAGGGCAGCCACAGCAGCATCAGTCGGGCGGAGCGCAAGTATCTGCAGAAACAATCGGACTTCGTCTCAGAGTTGCCATAGCGGCTTCTCTTAAGGCCTCTTGCCAGGAGGATTCCTGTAAGGATTGGGGTTGGAAGTTGAAGTTTGAGCTACAGGGCTCAGGGCTCTTGTTGCCGAAACGAGGGGAACCAGCGTCCGCAGAGACCTAGAGCACTACAAGAGTTCAAGCCAAGGATCACCTGTTCTGGCGACTTTCATGAAGACCCTGAGCCCGAGCAGTTTGCAATCGTGAACAGCGATTGCACAAGCCATCTGAAATCCTGCGAACACACCTCGCGCTGCCAAGGACGGGGGGGTAGGTACAGGCAGGACGAAAGCAGTGGCTCATGGCCTGGCTCTTGCAACTCTGGACCAGACAGGGGTTTGGGGTTTAGGGGTTTAGGGATTTAGGATTTAGGGTTCAAAGCCAAGTCCTGAAGACAAGGAATGAATTCTCAATCTCCGCAGCAGATTGGGGAACGGGCCATCTGCACCCTAAGCCCTAAACCCTAATCTCTCAATCCCGATAGAAACCCTACCAAACCCCGGTTCACCTCGGCCCGCAAAAACTGAGCCCCTGGCCTCCCTGCAGAGAGCCCTGGAGTCGAACTCGATCTCCTCTAGGATTTAGGGCTGATAACTATAGGGGGTTAAGGTTTGGGATGATTTTGCTGGTTTTTGGGCCTTGGGGGTTGTGTTTTGCGGCAGTGGAGATTAGAGACAGAGATTGCGAAAGATTTAGAGTTAAGGTGGCATGGTTTCGGGTCTTACGGCTCAGGGTTTATACAAGGTTTCGCTTCTCTCGGACTGATTGATCTTTTTTTTTTTTTGTGTGTGTGTGTTTGGGTGTTTGGGTGTGTTTGGGTGTTTGCGTGTTTGCGTGTTTGCGTGTGTGTCTGTGTCTGTGTCTGTGTGTGTGTGTGTGTGTGTGTGTGTCGGTCGGTCGGGTTTGGTGTTGAGTAGGATCTCCCAGGTTCCTGTCGGCCCGTTTTTGGTTGTTACGTTTTCTTTTCTGGTAAACCTAAACATAAACCCTAAACTTCCTAAACGCATATTGAAGATGCAGCCGGTAGACTTGAACTAGGTTTGCGAAGGTTCTTGCAGGCCACCAAAGTCTTCTATAGGGTTCATGGACTCTGATGGGATTTTCGAGGGCCCCCGAACTCAAAGCCCTTAAACCCCTAAACTCCTGACCCAAAACAACCCTACACCTAAATAGACCCCAAACCCCGAAACCCCTAACGCATAAACCCCCAAACCCTTAGACGCAACTCGGAAGGTCTCGAGGCCTTCCAGCCCAGCGCCACCGTCTCACTTGGCAGAAGAATGCCAGCAAGCCTTACTGGATTCTTGTTCAGGGGTTTGGGAGTTTAGGATGATGCTAGGTCCGTCGGCGACGACAGCGACGATTGAATTGCTGAAGTTGGTTGTGCATGTGATTCGTGGCTCTGTTTCTTGTCAGTGCGTCTATGCTTGCTCTAAGATCCTCGGAGTCCTCGTTGCGGAACAAGTTCTTGGAGGGTCCATGCAGGTCCTCAGAACCATAGTAAGGATGGTCTTTTGAACATGCATAGCCTCTGGGTTTTGTGGACTTTTCTGAGTACGCCTGAGGAAAGTTGTCGAACTTCGGGCCCCTTTTGGAGACCTATTTGCAAGGGTGCCGTGCGATTTTTTTGGGGTCCCAAAAAGGTACCCTAATTTGGAGAGCGGTGCTTAAAGGGTCATGGGACTTGGTAACTAAGGGTTTAGGATTTAGGGTCTAGGGTTTAGGGTTTAGGGTTTAGGGTTTAAGACAACTATACTTATATTTACCTATTATTTATAATCCCCGTTAGGGTACTTGTATATAACCTTGCTTACTAAGTCCCATGATCCTCCAAGTGCCCGTATTAGTATTCTTCAGGAAAGCAGCTTCCAGTCGAAGTGCCGAAATACTGTCGGGCCTTGTCCTCCACCGCCCGACTTTCAAAGGGGAAAAGGACGGACCCTTTATAATGGGCCATATAATGGGTATATAACAGCTATATAACAGCTATATTATTAAGGGTATATACCTATGGGTCCTTATTCAGGGTCCCTCCTTTTACCCTTGGAGACTTCAATGCTAGGCCCAACGCCCTATGAACCCCAAACCCTTGTCCTCGAATGTAGGGGCCTTTGAGAATGAGGATTTCGGGTGATAGTATAGTAGAGATATAGTAAGGAAATGTCCGGATTAGAAATGGTAGTGATTCCGCACCACACACAAAATGGGAGTTTCCGAAAATATGGGACCCTAATAGAGCACCCTAAAAATGACAGGATCCTTGTTATAAGGCCACCAAAATAAGGGATCCCTAATTTTTAGATATTCACAAATCTTAGACTTCCGCCGTGGAGCGCTGCTGCCGCCTCCACATCCCCGCCATCCGCCGCCGCGGCCAAGAGCTCCTTTGCTCTGTTGCAGCGAGACTCCAATATCCCAGGGAATATGAAGGAACATTGGAAGTCATGATTCACCCCTCCCAAGAAACATGAACCCTAAGCCTGCGCCCCAGCAGCATCCAGACACTGCCTTGTTTCGAGATCGGAGTCGACTCCGGTTTAATGTTTAGGTTTAGGGTTTCGGGCTCAAGACACCAACTCCAGAACCCCGATACCTCAACAGAAGGGTCAACTGCTCGCCACCCACCTAGAGCCTCATCTGCAGCTCCTCGCTTTCGCTGCCCGTTGCTCTTTATTACAGGGTCGTATAGCCGCGAAGCTACACATACCCCTAGCTCTAAACAGACCGTGAATTTATAAGGCTACCCTAACCCTCAAGTCGCAATCCCACACCCTAAACCCCGCGACCCTAAACCCTAAGTACGCATGAACCCCTAAACCCAGCTGCCCCAGAGACTCCAATAACCCTTAATTTGTAAAGGAGTAATCCTTAAATCATATTAGGGATCTTACTATAGTTTAAGGCACATGAACCCTAAACCCTAAACCTAATTAAAGCAATCGGGTTCCGATGCAGCTGGCGATGGCTACAGAGTAGGGAGTCAAGTCAGTAAGTCAGCACACACTCATGGACTCTCCACTGATAACCAGCATGATACGGTGAAATCTCCAACATTTCGTGTTTTTCAGGCACAAATAACTCACGGAGACTCTGAAACGGGTCCCTTCATAGCCTGAATGCCAGTCTACGACTTGCGGTGAAAGTATTCTTTGAAACGGCCAGACACTCCATGGAAATTGCCTACCTAACTTTCGATGAGGCTGCTGGCGAGGAGGGTGCGAAGGCTATGGAGCCTGAAAACAGTAAATCGTCTTGGCCCCTTCTTTGCGCAAGGCACCTTCTTCCCCAACATCACCGGGCCATCCTGCATGCGGAACAACACAAAAAAGTACTGCAACTGTTGCCTTGATGCTCTTTGCTGCTCTTATAAAAATAATCTATTCCATGACTTGCGTCGTGCTGTAGGGCGGTGTGGTTTCAGTGGCGTTGTTCGTCGTCTTCGCGCCCGCCCGTCCGCAAGCCTTGAACCACAAGACACCCCGGATCCCTGCACTTAAACCCAAGGCCCCAAAGTAGTTCCCTTTTGGGGGTTCATAGATAGAATCCTATAGGGTACTCCCAATAAACCCTCCCTATATAGTCTCCATTGTAGTTCCTTTTTTGGGTTACCTTGTAGGATCCTAACTATCAAAATGGTTTAACCCAAAAAAGAGCTACGATGGAGACTATAGGTAATCTCTAAACCGCGAACCCAGACCCTAAGCAGAAACGTCGGAAGCCGAGTGCAGCCAAGGGGGCTGGGTTTGCATGTTTTCGATTTGGGGCTTGGGCGGTTTAGGCACATGTTCAAACTGACTGGGGTGCAATTGTTGTTAAAGGTTCTTTGCGAGGGATTACGGGTATAAGGTTTTTGACCGTCTCGGGATACACTTATCATGGGATTTCCCGCCAGATGCAGTACGCCGAAAGACGCAAACCCAGAGAGTACAATATCCAATATACGGTGGCCACAATCTCCACGGGGCTTCTTATTCTGACTTGAGGGTCAATTATTCCTGAAACCACAGACCCCTCACCCGAAACCCTTGACCCCCAAAAAACCCTAAACCCAAAAAAAACTCAAAAGCTGAACACTCAAACACTTCGCCCTTAAACCCTTTAGCTCATTTGTGGTATCTCCCTTAGCCCTAAACCCTAAACCCTTAAAACCTTTAGGGATCCCTGGGAATCTCCAAAGCGCAAAGACCGACCTCGGAGTGCAAACGAACCTTGTGCCGAGACGTTTTGGGTTGTGGCTTGAAAGAATAGGGTTGAGGGTTAAAGGGTTATGGCATCCAGGATTTAGAGTGTAGAGTTTAGGGTGTTGGGCTTTGGAAATAGAGCTTAGGGTTTGAGCAAATAGAGAGTTCAGGGTTTAGGGGCTTTTAGAATAAGTTTTTGGGTTCGGGTTTTGCTGGACCTCCTTTTAATCGCCCTCGCCCATCTGTAGACCCGAGCAAGGCCGCACTGGCTTTGGGTGTTGAGCCCTTAAGGTTCAGCTGCCTCAGATCAAAGGGGAAAAGGAGGGACCCTTCATGGGGGACCCCTACCCTATAATGGGCTATATATAATGGGTATATAAAAGCTGTATTAAGGGTATATACCTAGGGGTCCTTCTTAAGGGTCCCTCCTTTTCCCTTTGGATCAGAAGTCTCAACCCTAAACCCTAAACCCCTAAACCCTAAGAAGCGGAACGACCGGCTGCTCATGGCTTTCCGGCCGTTCCTTCTCCGCCCTTTCTGCAGAGACTTGGGCCATGTCCTTCACCAATGTACTTGGAAGTTCATGGGTAGTTGTAAGTAGGATTTATAGGGGTCCTTTATATATAAGGGTATAGTGTTTAGGGTTCATGGGTAGTTATAAGTAAGGTTATAAGTAAGGTAACTATACTTATAACCCAGATATTAGGGGACTGATAACTCTACTTATAACTACCCATGAACCTCCAATTACGGATGAGGTGCCTTGCCTGCTCTTTGACTTGTCTTTGGCCTTTGGATAGCTTTGCACGATGCTTCAGGGCTTCAAAGCCTCCGCGTCTGGGTTCAAGCCAAGAATTAGGATTTAGGGTTTAGGGAGTCTAGGGGTTTAGCCGCTTTCTTCTCTCTGCCGTGAGCCCAGACACAGGAAAGCACCGCGGGCGGGCGGAGTACAGGCCCAGCCTAAACGCCCTAAACCCTGAAGCCCTCAAGGGCCTATGGGTCCTTGTGTCAAGGATCCTGCTCGTCGCTTTGAGCTGGAATGGCTCGGATTTCGTATTTCCTGGGCACCCACTGCAACATTGAAGCATGAGTCTTTAGGGGCTTCACTGCGAAAGTTGAAGCCCCGAGCCCTATGCTTTGAACCCTCACCCGAAGAGCTTGCATCCTGAATCCGCCCAAACATCCCTTGGCCTGAACCCCGTGCCGGAACTGCGACACACTTCACCTGAACCCACGGCTAAGCCCCAAACTCGAAACCCGCAAGCCTTATAACTGCTACCCGACTACCCATCCCTGACTCCATAAAATCACCATCGTCCCCAATTTCCCAAACATTAAGTCCCGTGATGCAAAAAACCTTAAGTCCCGTGATGCCTGAAACCAAAACATCTAAAAACTCAATTTTCTCGAATCATCAATGGCCTCGGTAAGTAGGCCTGAAATGAAGAAAGCGGGTAGTGCCACTTGAGTACTCAGGGTCTGCGTGCTAATTTCCCCGAAATTCTAAGCTGGTGCAAGCGTGACAAAACCCTGCAAAACCTCAAACTCCATGTAAACATCCTTTTGCCAAAACAATCCTCTGAGCTAAGGACGCGTTCGTTGACGTCCAACAGCCTGTGTCTTTCAGAGCTCAGGGCTTCCAAACTGGACATTACATGGGTAGAATTTCGATTGTTTAATAGATGCTGATATGGTTTCATACAGTGTTCCAATTGCTGCACACTTTTTTATGAAAGTATGATCGGGCTTGCTTCATAACAGGGGTATGCAAACACACAAGTGCAGGCTTCGCTTCTTGTGGTAGTAAAACTTCTTTAAGTAGTCACTATTGCCAGAGTTGGTTTTGTAAACATGCTGACTACCACCACTTTGGTTGGTATCAGTACAGGATGTTATGAGTGCCGGTAGAAGTACTACATTTACCACCTAATGCTACTGCAACTGCGGCAGCTACTGCTACGGCTGCGCCGGCTGTACTCCGGCACTGCGGCGACCGCTGCTCCGACGACGACTAGTGTTCCTTCTATTCCCTCTCCTACTCCTACTTCTGCTTCTTCTACTGCCCCTACTTCCTCCACGACTACTACTACTACCACCACCACCACCACCACCAACTACCAACCCTACTGCCGATGCGTCCCTGGGCCCCAAATCTCAAGGTCCCAAGGCCTCGCCAAGGCCGCGCACGCTGGGCCGCTGCCCAGACCAGCAGCTCGGGTGAGGAGCGCGCCTCGGATGCTTTAAGGTTTAGGGTCTAGGGTTTAAGTTTTACGGTTTAGGCCGGTTTAGGGTTTATAGAAATTGTATCGGGTTTGGGTCCGGGGTTTTGCGCGAAAGTTTTGGGCGGGTTTTGCTTTTAATTTGACTTGAAGTTTTCATTTTGGGAGTGGCGGGCTGGGGTCCGAGCTGGCTGGTGGGGGCTGGGGCGGCTGGGCTGGCGGGGGTTGGGCGCTGGTGGGGGCTGGCGGCTGGGGTGGGGGCCCGGGTTCTTGTTTTTGCTTTTTGGGCCTGGACTGGGCGGGGCCGGGCTGGGCCGGGTTGGCTGGGCTGCATGCAGTTCGAAAAGGGAAACGCGCGGCAAAAGTTGAGCTGGTTGCGAAAACACACAAGGCCAAAATTTATTTCCGTCTGGAGGGTTCAGGGTTTAGGGTCTTTAGGGGTTTAGGCCGGTTTCGGATTTAGGGTTCAGGGTTTAGGGTTCAGGGTTTAGGGTGTAGCATTGGGCATCTGAATGCAGCGGTATGCAGACATGCCCACCCCAAGACCACCCAAACACTACTCACTGCGAATCAAACCGAAGCCAGCCCAACCACGCCAGATTCATTATTCAAGCTTCAACACTCTGCATCGAGCCCTGTCATGGATTTGCCGACCTTTGGCCTCGAATCCGTGTCCAAGCTAAATTTAGGGTTTGCGCTGGGGTACATTCTGGGCCGAAGGGCCTTCCTGAAGCTGTATCTGTTACGAGGCTTCGTGTACAAGTCAAGCTTTAAGGATCAGACGCGTCACGATTGTGGGCTTGCGCATCCGCTTGAGCACGATGTCTAAGCATCCCCCTCTTGTGAGTCGAAGCCTGCCAGGATAGGACGACCAAGCGAAAGATTCCGCCACTGAGGCCCTTGCTCGTCGATGTTCATGGTCTCCGCCCAACACTCCAACTGCCTGCAGGTTGCGAGTAAGATAAGTTAAGAAAAAGCTAAGAATCAAGCGTGCCTGAGGCGATGTTGGATGAGGAGCTCGGTGGCGACGACGAAGCGATCCGAGGAGGTGGTCGGCCAGTCCACAACCTTGATCACGTATAGATGTACAACGTAGTATTACTTCTCACCCTGCCTTCCGGTAGACTGCGTAGATGTAGTCCCCTAGCCAAAGGAGCAAAATCGATTCTATGATAAACTAAACGGAATAGCCTGCGGCCGCGTCTTCCAGGAGCTTCGCTTCTCGTCTGTAAACCTGCCGGAAGAATTATTCTAAAGGTTACTGACGGCGGCGTTGTTGCCTCCTCGGTATGCTCCATCGTCCACCATGCCGGGTAACTGAATCGGGAAGAAAAAAAGGCGAAGCACAAACCATAGAGTAGAGTCCAAGGCGAGAACCGGAACCGTGGCTCCTCGTCGTCCACATCGATCACCGGCACCGGCAGTGCAAAAAGTGGACCTTCAAGAGGAGAGGACGGACGACATAAGCAAAAAGGTTGATTGCTCGAGGCCGTCGCCAGGAGGACCGGCCATGATGGCCTCGAGAGTTCGTGGCATAACAAGTAAAATGGAAGAACCAATTTCCGAGGACATGACGAACAAGAAGTACTGCAGAAAAGGACAAACTTGAGCGATGCAGCTAGGGAAGCAACTCCGCTGGATAACAGCCCAGCCCCAAAATCAAAATACACGTGGAGCTGGTTAAGATCAGAATAAGCTTCTTGATATACCAATTTTTTTTCCACCTCCAACCCAATTCCCAGCCCGGCCCACAGCCAGCCCAGCCCACCGGCCCAACAGCCCAGTCCCAACATCAAAACCCTGAAAATAGTTTCTTAAATTAGGCTCTTTTAGCTTCGAAGCAAAGAAGTTTCCGAAGCAAAGAAGTTTCTACAGGGCAACAGGCCTCTACAAGGAAAAATCACCCTATCTCGGCGAAGCTGCTCTTGCACGGCCCGGTCGGGTCCTAAACCCTGCAAGCCCTGGCTATCCTACAAAAATGATATTGCTTGAAGTGAACCAACCAAGGAGGATTACACAGCACTATCGACGATGTGCAACAGACTGGGCTTCGCACTGTACAGAGTCAAACTCAAGCTGCATATGCAGCTACACTTGCAGAACGCGGTTGCAGGGTGTATATACCCGACAGGCCAGAATAGCGACAATGTAGGCTAATTTGTACTGTACTTCCACCCAAGGCGCGATACAGAACTTCAGCTTGACAACCCATCCGGCTTCGTGTTGACCCCTCTCTGTTGCAAGCTTGCCCTTTAGCTAGACTTTTGCTCATGGGATTTGTATTTGATCTGGACACCATTACATTTCTAAGGATTCGTCTGCTTTATCGACGAGGATTGAATTGGAAAATGTGCACGAATCAGCATGCGACAGGCCGCAATCTCCCTGGCATTCCGAACAATTCGGGCTTGCTTGCATCCCTATCGCAACGTGTGGGACCGTGAGCTTCGCCGCTAACAAAAAGCTGAGGCTGCGGCTCTCCACCGCAGATCGAAGAGCTCGATGATAGCAGGGTTGGAGAGGTACCCAGATCCCGCCCAAACCCTCAGCCCAACCCCCCTAGCAAGGTAGATATCCCGCAAGTTGCGTATATTCAATCATAACCCTCCGATAGATAGTGTTGGGGAGTGCAGCCACTATGACGATGACGCACAGTTTATGTATTGTAAAACCTCACGCACATAAGCCCCTAAAGCGCGCATAATTTAATCAATATCTTGCAGCTCCACGCGCATAAATTCTAGGGTACGGAAATTTCCATAGCAAAGGATTTTCTATAGCACGTCACGCATCCTTCGAGCATAGGCGGCCGGGGCGCGGATCACAATACCATGGTACATGCTAAAACCGATCGGCACATGCTCGCGCTTGAAAGAAATCAGCTTGTCCCTATCTTTTATTTTCGTATCGCACGCGAGGTGCCGTCGTAGGCCGCTCCTGTGGCACGCAAAGGCAGGCACCGCTAACATTGGGTGCCATCGATGCAAAAGGGTCCTCGTCATCAGCTTGGCCAAAGGAGTCATCGGGTCCCCTGGGTTCACAAAGTAACCGGCTGGTAGGACATGGGACAGGAGCGGCCTCACACCAGCAATCTCGACCACAACGTCACCCAAGTCCTTGTGTGGGAACCACGCACGGGTTCCAGTACGGTAGAGTCTTCACTACTCTGGGAACTGGGCCCGGTGGACACAGGGCGCCCCATGCGGACGGCGGTCTCGTCCAGCAGCTTCATGAGCTTCTGCCCAGGCGGGACATACAGGCCATGCCCTTTATGGTTTCGGTCTATAAACTATCACAGCACCACTCGTCAACCGCATCTCCTCTTCGCCCTGGTTACGCCACTCCAGCGGACCGCCCTTGAGGCGACGCAGCCGCAGAAAGCCCGCAGATCTCGTCGAGCATGCAGTGGGTGTGGTTCCTGTTCACAAGCGGCTTACATATTCAGCATCGGACGGGACAGCTGACACGACGTCGCAGTTGAGCTTCACGCACCGCTTCGGCCCCACCACCTCGCAGGTAGGCCGCGAAATACTCGGGTGCCTGTCGGCACAGACAGCGGAGAGGTGACCACCAATTCTACGCGACTAGCCACACAAGTCTTGCAGCAGTTGCTCACATCACATGATGAGTAGGGTGGACGTGCAATGTCGGATGTTGTCATTTCCTTGGAGAACGATGGGCCCGCCCGAAGCGATACGATTGACGAGGATCATCTCTCGGGATATCTCCGTTCAGCCACGGCATTTGTGCCAAATTTCCATGTGGTGTCAGACTAGAAAATCGATGCCCTAACCGACACCCAATCGATACCTTAATCGATACCTACTAGATTTTTCATGAGCCACTGCCCCATGCAGGAAACCCCAGCAGAGGGCAGTGAAGGGCAGTAATGTGCAGTAAAGGGCAGTAAAGGGCAGTAAAGAGCAGTAAAGCGCAGGTAAAAACAGTAAAAAGCAGGAAAGGGCGGCAAAGGGCAGCAAAGGGCAGTGAAAGACAGGTCAAGGACAGGTAAAGAGCGGGCAAAGGCAGTAAAGAGCAGTAAAGGGCAGCAGAGGGCAGGGCACACTACGCGTATGATCATTGAGTCTAATGCGTTTCTTGCTTTAAGAGCAAAGCGATGTCTCACAGAAGCATGTGACGGAATCCCTGTAAAGCGATAGGACCCCTTCCCCTCGAATCATCCACGGTCTATCTACGAACAAGGGGTTTTGACAACTGCTCACATGGATTGTGGACCACAGAGCACTGACAGCACAAGAGTTGGAAGAATTCACGCTACGTAGAGCCGAGCAGGTGGAGGGATGGAAAGAGACACTTCAGTCGCCGTTGCCTCGGCCCCCAGCACCACATTGTCCGCCGGAAACCAGACCCCGATGACCTCCGGCCCGTTCTCATCGAGCCATGGCACCTCCGTAATGTATATATGTACATACATATATGTGACCTAATACGACCTACCGACACGTGCGTATACACTTACATGTATATGCGGTCGACTTGGAAGTATGCTCAAGCGTTCGAGTTTTAAAAACTTCAATATCTGTCCAAACAAAATTTGAGGTTTGCGTTGGGGTAAATTCTGGGCCGAAGGGCCCTGTCATGGATTTGTCGACCGTTGGCTTCGAATCCCTGTCCAAGCAAAATTGAGAACTTGCTCAAAGGGTCCCTTGTCCATTTGGAGGCCGCCTCAAGTCGTGAAGGGTTGGGGGGGGCGGGCATCCTTGTCTATTTGGGGGCCGCCCCAGGGCATCTCGTGTGATTTGGAGGCCGCCTCAAGTCGTGAAGGGTTGGGGGGGCATCCTTGTCCATTTGCGACTTCCGCGAGAGCAAAATCCCTGGGGTTTAGGGTGGTTAAATATACGTCGAGACAAGCTAGGCGACTCTATCTACTTCTCAGGGGTGCTCCCTGCAGGCTCTGCAGCCTAGCAGAGCCTGCCATGGTCTCGCTGCCGCTCGACGACGCCCGCCTACCCCGGTTTAGGCCGGTTTAGGGTTCAGGGTTTGGGGTTTAGGGTCTAGGGCCAGCGTTTAGGCCGGTTTAGGGTTTAGGGCCTCGGATGCGCGTAGTTCTAGGACTTCTTTAAAAGGCTTATAAGTTCTAGAGTTCTAGGATGTTCTAGGACCTAAGGCTTGTGAAGCTTTTAGGGCTTGTAAGGGTTATAAGGCCTACAAGCGCTATAAGGACTTACGAGGGCTTCGGGTGCCGATTAGGATGCCGGCTGATGCAATTGAGGTTGAGGGATTAAGCCTCAAGGTTGTAGGAGTTGAAGTCTGGGCGCTTTTGACTTAAAGTGTTCGGTCCTGGGGTGACAGGCTCGATTCTAGGTTTTAGGGCTTGCTAGGGTTTGGGGTTTTGGGTTGGCTGCATCGCGTCGGGTTGAGCATCACACGTCGTCGAAGATGACAGACCGCTGCAATGCAGACAAGGGGCGCTGTTTTGCCTCAGACGGAGCATCACATGCTTGGGTCTACTTTGCCGGCACCCTACATATTAAACCGTAAACCCAAAAAACCCAAAACCTATGTACACCCCGGACCCTCATTCCTCAACCGCTAGACTTGACCAGGAACAGGGAGACTGGACTGGCAGTTGTTGATTAAAGGATCGAACCGCCAGTAGAGACACTCAGGGCATGTTCTATGGGCATTTCAATTCGGGTGGGGCTTGGGGTGCTCAAGCTTCCCACAACCACACCCCAAACCCTACTCCCTAAATCCTAAAAACCCTGAACCCTCCCATACCTATAAGGAACGTCCATGCAAGGCTGGGATGGCTTTGGGTCAGACTTGGTGCTTCGTACACATTTGCTGGCTCAGGATCTGCAGAGTTGAGGGTGTAGGAGTTCAGGGTTAGTACAGAGGGTTCAGGAGCGAGGACCGACCAGAGAGACATCCCTCGACCCTGAACTCTCCCCGCGAAATTCTCCAAGCCCTAAACCCTAGCCCGAAACCCTCTCCCCGAAACACTAAACCCCTCAACCCCAGAGCCCTCATAGATACCCTGTCGTAACCCCTGCAGCAACCCGACTTAAGAGGACCCTAAATCGTGAAACCCGGAACTCTCAACACGAAGCCCTCAACACCAAACCCTGAACCCCGGAATCTGCACAGTAACACTTACAGCAACCCGATAGTTTAGGGTTTAGTATAGGGTTTCGGCAGTGGGGTTTCGGGTTTGAGGTTTAGGGTTTGGGGTTAAGGGTCCCTGCACCCTGAAATGTCCATCGCCTGGTCGGCAGCGGCAGCCACAGCAAACGCAGCGGCCGGACAGCTCGGTTCGAGTTGCTGGGCCCTGAAAGGCTTGAGGCATAGCAGTTCGAGCTCGGCTTGAGGATTTCGGGTCTAGGGTTCAAGGCTTAGGGAACAGTTTGTTTTGGCGTTTTGCTTCAAGGTCGAGGGTTTAAGGCTCAGGATTTAGTGTTTGGCTGTTGAATTAAGACCCTAAACACCCTAAACTCCTAAACTAGTGTTTTGGGATTTGTGGCACGCCCTTTGGTTGCAGTGGATTCGACAGCTGCCATGGTAACCTGGATGTGAATGGTTTGTCTCTCTCGCCCTGCATGTTAACACAAACATCCTGCGACTTACTGTATGCCACGTGAGCGTTTTTGTGTGTGCTCTCGCTCATTGCCCCCCAAAGGCACGTATGTCTCGGGGGTCAGCCTGCCCTGAAAAGTTGATACCTTGCAGCTTGCGGCGCTTAGCCTGGAGTTTGAGGCTGGGGGGTAGCCGACAAATACCTTCTGTAGGGTTGAGGGTTTAGGGCTTGGGGTTCAGGGTTTGGGGTGTAGGGTCTCTAGGGTCCAGGGTTTAGGGATTTTGGTTTAAGATTGAGGGTTTGGGGTGTAGGGTCTAGGGTTTAGGGATTTGGACTTAGGGTTGAGGGTTTAGGGTTTGGGGTCACTAGGGTCTAGAGTTTAGGGATTAGGATGTGGGATTGAGGCTTTAGTGGAACCTCTGCAGAAAGACGGAAAGGCTCCCAACCAGGCAATAGTACAATGGGAGTTTCCGAAAATTTTGGTGTCCTTGTAATAAGGATCCTACTATTTAGGGTACTATAGTCGGGTCCCCTATTTCCGGAAACTCTCAAAGGTCTTATGGCGGCACGAGAAGAGCCTTCAGCTCAAAACCCGAAAGATCCGCATATTACCCTAGTCTCTAGACCAATGACACCTAACAGTTAGACTCTAAACTTTGCACCGACTACTTCAAACGACAACATCCCAATCCTCTTACCACCTTCCCTAAGTCTCCTGTAAGCCCTCCTGGTCCCTGGAGCCTCCAAAATACTCCTCCCTAAACCCTAAACCCTAAACCCAAAGTCCAAAACCCTAAGCGCTGCACCCTGTCGACCCGGAGCCCTAAGCCCCCCACACTCTTTGAGGCCCTTCCTATACTGAACTTAGAACCCTAGCCAAAAATTACAATTTTAGCTGTTTCTTAGGGATTATCATAACCAAAATTAAAAAATATTTCTAAGTACCCCTAAGCTTATCCCAAACCCGAAATCATCCTCAACCCTTGGTATGAAGAGTGCGTCGGAAGCCGCGGCCGCCCACCTCCTCGAGAGTTGCTCTCCCGTCCATTTCGCAGCTCCTGAAGAGGTCGAGCCTGGAGGGGATGTGTTTGGGGCTTTTGGTGGGATTTCAAGAAACGGAGGGGGTTTGGGTTTAGGGTTTAGGGCAGCCTATCGGCTCGACCATGTCTGTGGCAAGTGCCTAGAATCCTAGATCCCTCACCAACCCTAACCAACCTCTTCGTTTCAGTAGCCTAGTGTTTGAGGAGGGTCGGCAAGCCAAGGATGCTGGTGTTGAGGAGCTTGCCCATAGACTCCGATATCCCTCAATTAAGGGATATACATTAAAAGTCTAGTAGGATCCCTAATACGACTTATAAGGTATAATCCTTAATTGGGGGATATTGGAGTCTCTGGCTGCCTGCACTGAGGCCACGCTCCTGTCGTGCTCCCACACCACCGTCGCCAAGAACTCGCTTGGCTGCTGGAGGGGGGGTTTAGGGTTCCCAGAGATCCCAATACCCCTTATTTAAGGAATATACCTTAAGTTATAGAGGCCTTAATATTCTGATTGAAGGTATATTCCCTAATTAAGAGGTATTGGGATCTCTGGGTTGAGGCCGGGAAGCCCCGGGTCCCTGCTGCGTGCCGAAGACAGCTTCTTTGCCTTTCGAAAAAGGAGCCACCACTTCAATCAAAGGGGAAAAGGAGGGACCCTTAATGGGGACCCCTACCCTATAATGGGCTATATAATGGGTATATCATAGCTATATTAAGGGTAGATACCTAAGGGTCCTCATTCAGGGTCCCTCCTCTTAATTTTGGATTCAAGGAGCACACTGGAGGTGGTTTGAAACCACTGTCTCATCGGCCACCACTCGGCCATCGCGAGGCTATGAAGCTCGAGGTGCAGCTCTTTTTATTCAAGAAAGCCTTGGGTGACGGCTGGAAAGCACGGTTTAGGGTTTAGGGTTTAGGGTTGATGGCTGGATGCACTGGTAAACAAGCGGTCCCATCTACAGAACCGTTCGCACTGCTCCAGCACCAGTCGTTGCTTAAGGCTGCCGCATCGCACAGGACTTGGATGCCTTCCGAGACTGGCATGTGCAGTGGCTCTAAACCTGCACACGGAACAGAACTCCGGACATTCATATTAGTATCAACCTCTGTTCGAGAGTCAACGGATTGTTGATTCACGGCTATGTCTGCTACCGCCAGCTGTAACTCTATCGCCGTCTGAACCCCTAAACCCTAACCGCTTCAATCCCCAAACACTTAAGCCAAAGTCCTAATCCCTAAACCCTAAGCCCGAAAATGACCCGAAAGCACAACACAAATTCAACCCTACACCCAATTTTCTGAGGCACTTAATCCTACTTCCCTAAACTCTGAACCCTATTGTCCAAAACCCTAAACCCGAATTTTCTAAACCCTACACCCCTAAACCCAACACGAAACCCTAAACCCTAAAACCGGGATTCCCTACACCCTAAACCCTAAAATCCAGCATCCTCAACGCAGGATTCGACCTTCCGAAGCATGCTCGTCGAACCACGATCTTGCACTGGGCCAACCTGCTCAGTTTCGGGTTTAAGGTACAGTGTTGAGGGTTTCTTTTTGATGGGGCCCTAGGGTCCAACAAGTAGATCCCTTCAAGGGGTTCCTATAAAGTGCCCTTTAGTAGCTACCCAGAAGCCCAAAGTAGTTCCTTTTTGGGAGTAGCCTATAGGATTCTATATATGAGACCCCCAAAAAGGGACTACTTTGGGGCCTCTGGGTAGGGTATAGTCTAGTGTTTAGGGTCTAGAGTTTGCAGTTTAGGGAGTTTGCGGTTTGGGGAGTTTGAGGTTTAGGGAGTTTGGGGTTTAAGGAGTTTAGGGTTTAGGGAACCTGCTCAGAGATTTCTTCAACTCTGGCTTGCCCCTGAAAGAAAGAGGCTATTGGGCTTAAGAGTCTCAGGGCAGTTCATTGTTTGGGGCTTTCGGGTTTACCGTGATGGCCATCATGGCTGTTGTCACAGCAAAACTCATCATCGCTTTCTCAGTACTCTTGTTTCCCCCAAAACAAGCATCATTCTCGCCGCACCATGATCTTCATTATCGTCTTCATCACCATTACCAGCATCGTCATCATCATCACCATCGCCATGTCCATCACGACGGCCAGCATTCGACTCATGATCACACAATCGCAATCATAATCGGCTTCATCAACATGATTATCATTGTCACCAACAACATGTACAGCAACAGAGGCTTCATCGTCATGACATGGTTCTGGAAGCGCTATCAATCATGGCGCCAGCTACTCGTACTCTCCATCTGGATACAGACTTCGCCCAAAGCAGCGCGCCTTTCAACTCGCACGTGCCGCTGCCCAGATGGGCACCTTCAGCTTGAGCTTTGGTGAGTTCTTGGTGTTTCTGTTCAGAAGATGTCTTGCACAATACCTGACATCGATGCGTGACTGCTCTCATCGGTACTGCAACAACTCCAGTCACACACTCACGGTTCATTTACTTCAAACATTCTACATGCGACTTTGCCGACAACTGCACGACCACTATGCCTCAGCTTCGCGGTGAACCACCAGAAAGTTGATAACTCTAAAGCTGCAACAGCCAGAGCAATGACTTTTCAATGCGATGAGACCAGTATACGACTTTGTAAACCACGCGGGAGCACTTCTGAAGGCTTCCAAACTGCAGCGTAGTTCAGGATGCAGCCCTAAAGCCCTTACCTGCACTTTTCCGCGTAGTTGTTGTATTTGGCGAACCAACTTTAGCGCTAAGATGCCATCAGAAGCAAGGTAATCGGACAAGAGCAACTGGATCTTGGGATCAATATGTCTGTCCCAGACCCTAAGCCCCTAAAAATCAGTGCCCTAAACTCTACGCTCAGGGTCCAGGGTTTAGGGGCACACCCTCTTCCCGAAGCCCTGATTCCTGAAGTCAAGCCCAGTCGCCAAGCTCTGCCGTGGCCGCTGCATCCCGCGGCTCCAGCTCCAGGGCGGCGACCTAGGGCATCCCTAGCCTAGCTACATATTCTGTATATCTATATATATATATATATGTATGCATGTACACATCTATATATATATATATATGTATATGTGTATATATATATATATATATATATATATATATATATATATATATATATATACGCGCATGTGTTTTAAACTACAGTAACCTACGCTGTTGTAGGTTCTGATGATTTACTCTATTATGGAATTTAAAAGGATCCTACAAAGAGCAGGTTTTGGTATCTCAGGAGATATCTACATCTACATCCATAGGGTACCGTCTCTAGCGGCGATCTCTAAACTGCTACATAAGTATAGTATAGTAAGCCATTATGTATGTAGGCAGCTGGACTTTTTAGGGTTCATGGATTTCGTGGAGCACTCGCGTTTCGGGCTTGGGGCTGCTGGGTTCGGGAGTTACGAATAGTGTAAGGAATTTGGGCTTTGGGGCCTTCGGGTCCGTTGAGTGTTACCAGGCATAGCCAGAGGACAGCTTCTGTTTCACTTGCCTTGTTAGTTTCAATCGCAGATCACCTCAACCCTGAACCCAAGTCTCAACTTCAGCATAAAGAAAGTCACACTCAAGAAACTGGTGCTTTTTTTGGAGAATACAATGTACTTAGAATCACGTTACGATACAGCTTTTTAGCATTTACACAACATAAAAGCCTAAACATAACTATACACAAACGCAGGCCCGTATTTCGACGCGTTCTGTTTTTCGGCGAGAGCCAGCGCAAAAGCACGCCATCCTTCCAAGAAGGTGGAGATGGGAATCTGAGCATTTGCAGGGCCCATGTTGAATTCGAAGTAGCACTCATCGGCCTGGCATCAGGCATAGTGTAGGTGGCTTAGCGAATAGAATAATTACGGCTTTGGGGGACTAAGACGTATGTACCTATTAAATAATCAGGAGCCCTGCGGAAGAGAACAGTACCTGTAATGATTTAGGCCCCTCCCTAAACCCTAAACCCCTAAACCCCTAAACCCCTAAACCCCCTAAACCCTAAACCCTAAACCCTAAACCCTAAACCCTAAACCCTAAACCCTAAACCCCTAAACCCTAAACCCCTAAACCCTAAACCCCGAGAGTCCCCTATCGTAGAGGCTTCTCCGGGCAGGGCTTGGGAGGTTCTCTTGGCAGGGCCCTTCGGGTTCTGTCCTGCAAAAGACTTTCCTATCACTGAAGCGCGAAGCTCCTGAAATCGATCCCTCAGGGTCCATGTGCTCAAATATCATATACCTATAGGCACCAAAGTAGTTCCTTTTTGGGAGTACCTTCTAGGATTCTGAAGATGAACCCCAAAAAAGAACTACTTTGGGGCCTCAGGGTACTGTCAAGCTCCCGAAGTTCACTAAACCTGGCAACTCGCCCCAAACTCCGAGACGAAGTCGAGGTTTTTAGGGTTCAGGGTCTAGGGGTTTAGGGGTTTGGGGCTTTAGGGTTTAGATTCGGGGTTTCGGATTTACATAACAGTATGAATAGACTGATTTGTCGCGGAACCAGAAGATAAAAACCGCAAACGGAACCCCCGGGGCTGGGACTTAGGATTCGGGGTACCCTCGAGGATATAGACCCTCTCAATAAGGTCCCTTTTAAGAGAGCCAGAAGTAGGGTTCGGAAGGGGTACCCTTTAAGGGGTCTCCCTAATAATACTACCCAGGGGCCTGACTTTCGGCCTCCTCCTCCTCATCGCAGAAGCTCGCAGGGTAGCCGCAACCACGCAGGCGATTCCAGAGCTTCAGTTTCAGAGCATTCAGTACGCCTGAACGGTTTAGGGTTTAGGGTTTAAGAGTTTAAGGGTTTAGGCTTTAGGGTTTAGGGTTTAAGAGTTTAAGGGTTTAGGGTTTAGGGTTTCGGGTTTAAGGGTTTAAGGGTTTAGGGTTTAAGGGTTTAGGATTTAAGGGTTTAAGGGTTTAGGGCACGGGGCTCCTGGGTTCTTCGGAAAAGGATTTCATTTCAGGTGCCAGAATAAAGAAACCCTGTTATTTACTACAGATCCCCATCATAGTAATGTGCATTAAGCTGAAGAGCTAAGGGTTCGGGCTGCAGGCTCTGAGGTGGAAGCTGTGCCGGGGAACCCTAGCATGTTCTCTCAGTGCGACTACGACTACAACGATGACGATGGCGATGACGACGACTGGTCTGCTGTCTTCCTTCTGCCAGCCACTCAAGTGCAACCTCTGACAGCCCGCTACGTGCAGTTGACTGAAAGGCAGTGAAGATGCTGATTCTCCAAGACAGGAAGGAATCTTAAACCCCAACACCTCTAAGCCCCGACGGCTTGAACCTTCTGGAATCTCTCTGCTCATCCTTCCCGTCAAGGCTCTCCCCCCAAAAACCTGAATGCGAAGTATCAAGGGCAAGACTTACAGGCTTAATTGTGCTTTTAGCCGCGGCTCCCCCTGAGTCGGCCGAGGCACCATCGTGAGCTGCCTGCAGCATGTCCTCACTGCCTGAACTATTCCGACCTACTTATTTGAAGGCTCATGGGTAGCATCACTCAGGCACTACCTTACCTTTGGTTTGTAGGGAATGGAGGAATAGGGTACAAGTAAAACTACTACTACTACTACTACTACTACTACTACTACTACTACTACTACTACTACTACTACTACTACTACTACTACTACTACTACTACCATTCTTCCATTCCCTACTAACCAAAAGTAAACCCTAAACCCCTAAACCCTAAACCCTATAGATCCCTTAAAGGATCCCGTTAAAGGAACCTAGTACTACCATTCTTCCATTCCCTACTAAGCAAAGGTAAGCTACTTGCGACAACAGGAGTTTAGGCTCCAGCCCAACAGCTCTCATCTCCCAGTTCACACCCAGAGATCCCAATACGCCTGAATTTAGGAATATTCCTTAAATCATCATATTAAGGCCTCTGTAATTTAAGGTATATACCTTAATTAAGGGATATTGGGATCCCTGGGAGTTTGGCTCCATGGAATGAAGACCTCTTCTTATCCCACAGCTTACCATTCCTGAACCTGCAACCTCTCAAGCCCCAAAGGGTTTAGGGTTTAGGGTTTCCTAGCCCCAAACACCCAGAAGTCCGCCTGATCCCTTCACCAAATCTTTGCACCCTGAAACAAAACTCTACCCCATGCAAGGGCCTCTTTGCAAGCTTACAAAAGCCTGAAGGCGAGGATCAAGCCTCAACCGCCTAAATTCTGATCAGACGCAGAATTGTGTAATTTTTAGACCGTGAATTCCTGAAGCCCTAAGCAAACCGGCACTAGTACTTGGAGGTTCGTGGGTAGTTATAAGTAGGGTTATAAGTCCCCTAATATGGGTTATAAGTCTATTTACCCTACTTATAAACCCTACTTACTACCCATGAACCTCCAAGTAGAACCCTGCTGAAACCGACACAAGCCCTACCAAGACCCCTCAAAACCCTGGTAGTAGAACTTTAGAAAGCAAAAAACTTCATTAAGGAACCCTCAGAAGAATCCTTATAGTAACTTCACAAGAATCCTTAGAGAACGTGTCTTAATCAGGCCCTGACAACTGCGGCACCCTACACCCCAAACCCAAAAAACCTCTAAACCCCTGGACCTCAAAACCCTACACACCTAAACCCCTAAATCCTAAAACCCCTAAACCCTAAAGCCTAAAACCCCAACCCCTAGACCCCGAAACCCCTGAGCCACTAAACCCTAAACCATGGCCTTTCAAGTAGACGTGGATCATGCAGGACTCCGGCTGCAGGGGCTCGAAGCGCAGGAAGCAGCGCAGCGCAGGTTCGGCCGTCATGGCTTCGACGAGCTCCTCTAGCGGGTGTTACGAGCTTTTAGGCTTCATGGGAGTTTAGGGTTTAGGGTTTAAGGTGGTGCAAGGATTTGGGGTTTTAGTTGATTTAACCAGGGTTTGGGATTTAGAGTTACATAACGCTGTGGAGTTTGGATTCTGTTCGCGTTTAGGGCTGAAGGTTATGGCAGGGTTTAGGGTTTAAGGTTAAGGGTTTCGAGGGTTTTAGGATTTCAGGGCAGATGGTTCAGGGGCTCGTCTGTGGTATCAGGCTTTGAAAGGCCAAAGGTTGTCGGGCTTGGTGGTTAAAAGGTTTTCTCGGTATAGACAGGCATTTCGGTCAAGGGTTTCGGTTATTTAGAATCGATGACAACCTGGAGGCCCTGCTACATAAAGCTCTAAACCCTGACAGAAACCTTCTACGACCGCATTCTCTCACCCATCCCAGAGATCCCAATGCCCCTTACTTAAGTAACATACCTTAAATTATAATATTAAGGCCTCTATAATCTAAGCTGTATTCCTTAGTTAAGGCATATTGGGTTCTCTGGGATTCTTTGCGTCCTGAAGCCGCCGGAAGCGCTGTGGGAAGGAGTCCACGTGAGCTCGGAGTTGCTCCTGGCTGAATTGAAACGGTGATGTAGGGGGGGTTTAGGCTTTAAGGGTACATATTCAGGGCTTCTATGCAGGGTTTAGGAGTTAGGCTCTGTATTTAGGGTTTCTATTCAGGGCTTAGGGTTGCTATTTAGGGCTTAGGCTTTCGAGGTTACTATACTGAACTTAGAACCCCAGCAAAAAATGTCATTTTAGCTGTTTCTTGGGGACTATAAAAACAGAAAATTGAAAAAAAATTCTAAGTACCCTGAGTTCAAGGCTGAGGTTCGGACTTGCTGGGTTGGCATCGGCAAATATTGCCCGAAGGGCAGGTCTTTCGGTAGTTCCCTACTTGGAGTGTCGGGGGACTTAGTAACCGGTTATTTTAGGGGCTTATGAGTACCATAACCCCAATTAGGGTTTAGGGTACTTATAAGTCTACTTACTAACTACTTACTAAGTCCCCCGACCCCCCAAGTAGACTGCAACCTCAAACGTCCGACTCCACATCACCAACGACCCAGACCCCCAGGAGGATCCAACAAGTAGATCCCTTAAAGGGGTTCCTATAAAGTGCCTTTTAGTAGCTACCCAGAGGCCCCAAAGTAGTTCCTTTTTGGGAGTACCCTATA